GATGACATGGATTGTTCACCTTACTTAATTGGCCAAACCAAACACCTCAGATTAACATCCAACATGACTCATCGAACATGAACTTGAAGGACCATGCTTATAGCAGCTGCTTTCAGCGAAAGCAGGCAGAGCTACCGAGCCAGCTAACTTAAGACAAAAACCAGCTGTTTTTCCATGTGAAAATTGTGAATGATAGAAAATGACTGAGAATAAGTTTTGTAGTCTGATGGCGCAAATGGAAGATTCAGAGTTCATAGCCTCCTTCGGATTCATAAGTCACCTCCAACTGCTTACCTTGCAGCCATTTTCGCCACAGCGAGCTGCAACGCCACTGGTCAGGGTCACACATGTTCGACACTGGCCCGCCTTGCTTTCGACACCGGCACAGTGCCATTTGAGGGGGGGGACCAAATGTGTCGAAGTCTTGGACCAGGCCACTTGGTCGAGGTTTTCACCAGCAGTTCCTGAAGGAGTCTTCGAGGTTTGAGTGGTTTGGAGTGGAAGACCTCGCAGTGACCAGTCGCCCGATGCAACTAAGTCTGTGGAAACAGACTGCAGGCAGATGTTTTTGCTCCTTAAAGGCGCCCAATCACCAATGAAGTGAACTTGAAACCATTAAATCAAAATTTTAGAACTTTTTAAACATTCACCTCCCCTAAGACTTGAGACAAATGCTCGGCACTTGTGAGGGTGCAGCCACTTGGATCGCAGTCTCCTATTTGCCACAGGCAGATGATCACAAGTAGACATCTCGTGTCTAAGTGCCAAATGACCCGAGCTTGAAGCAAACACCTTAGCAACAACCCATCACGTCAAATTCCTTGAATTTCGGCCTCCAGCTTTGCTGGTGTCCCTGGATCTATGTCACCTAGCCTTTCAAGCACATGGCCCAAAAAGGTGTGCTTGCAACATTGAAAACATATTAAAAGATATATTACTAATATATATCCAAATCTAATGAATCTTTATTCAAATAAAGATGTTATCCTTACAATATATTTTCATATAATTGATTATTTATTATATTTATATTTCTTATATTTTTTCTTATATTTATATATAAATGAATTAAATATATAATGATATAATTATAATCTATTAATTTTTTTAATAATTACGAATATATAAAATATTCGGTATTTAATATAATTTTGTAATTATTATTAATTTATATTGATTATGTAAAATGCAATATATTTAATATATGAATATATTAATAAATAATTAATATAAATTTAAAGTAATAATTTATATATTAATATATAAGATAAAATAATATAGATATATTTTAAATATATATATATATATTTATATTTTAAATATTAATATTAAATATAGATATTATTATTGATATAATTGAATAATTAATATAATAATAATTTGAAAAAAAAACACAATATTAAATAAAAATATATTTATAAATTATAATATTATTATGTAAATATTTATTTTATTTGATTTTAATTATATTTTATATATTACTTTAGATATGAATTTATTAAGAATAATATAAATATATGTTTTTAAGGAAATAGAATTATTGATTTGTGGGTTCTATCATTTTTTGAAATTAGATTTGTTTGATTTTTTTATTAGAGTTCGTCTTGGGAAAGATGGGGAGAGGTTAGGCGATTTAAGTGTTGGTGGGTTGGGATTATTTATCTTTAGTTTTGCTTAGGGGATGATTGGTGACTAAATACGGATTCTTTTGTGGGAATGAGGGAAAGCAGATATTTTTTTAGGAGGGGATATGAGAAGACTATTGCTTTAGATTGCGGAAAATTATATTTCTCCTTTTGGGGGGGATTTTGAGGATCTTATTCATTTTTCTTGGGTAGGAGCTTGGAGGATTTGGAAGAGAAAGGATGGAGAATTAAATTTTGATGATTTTTAAGAAAGGAGGCACATTGGAAAATTGGAATGATTTGTTGTAGAGTGGTCTTCTCCCCATTATATGATTTGGATCAAAGAGAAGATCATGATGATGTCTTGACCTATATTGAATCGGTTCTGGGCAAGGGTTGCAAGGCTTGTTTGTGAGTTGAGGATTGGAGTGATATTAGTCGAGGATTTCTGGTGGGAGACCATTTAATCGCAATTGATCGTTATTATGAATGGTATGGACAAAATATCTGAAGGATGGAAAAGATTTCTATTATTTATGCAGTGGAAGCCGGACAAAGTGTAAGGAGAAATTTCTTCGAGGTGATGGTCGAGAATTGGTATATATTAATCGATGGAGGTTGGCGAATATTCTGATGACAAATAATATGGAATATATAAGGAAGAAAATCATGGAAGATATCATAAATTTTGTTGATGGATGGACGCCCCGTGTGCCGGAACCAATAGGAGTACCGTCTACGAAAGAGAAACCTGAGCTTTTGGATGATCCGATTGGTTTGGACAAGGCCCTGGAGGAAGCTAAGAAGGCAGCCACGGAGAAGGGGGAGACGGAAGAGAAGAAAGGCGAAGCCAAAGTTGAAGCAGGACGTGGACGGAAGGGATCCGTGGAGGCTCTATTGGAACGTAAGGCAGCGGAACGTCGGGAATAGCAAAGGAAAAAGGAGGAAGAAAACAAAAGGGAGAGTCGTGGCAGAAGTCGTAGTCGTAAGAGGCGCAGGGGGAGGAAGAAATCGGGGTGCGGCTTCGGTAAAATGGCTTTTAGCCTTTCTTCGCTAGATTCATTTTCATTTACCTCCAATCCTGCCAGGATTTCTCCTTCTTGGGCCATATTTTCTTCTGCCATGCGAACCTCCTTTGCTTCGCGGAGGACCGCCCTTTTTTGTTCTAGTTCGCCGAATTGTACCTAACGCACCCTCTCTGCGTTCTGCGATTATTCCTTTGCTCCTCGAGGTAGCGTCACGGGAAATTTCTTCTCTAGTTCCCCGCCGATTATTTCCTATTTGTTGGTCCGATTCTTGTTCATTAATTCCTTCAATTTCAAGGCAGCGGCTTCTTGCTTTGTTGCCCTTCTAGGTCAAGCTAGTGGCTTGCGACGATATCAATTCCTGATAACATATTAATATCCAATTATTATCAAGCAGACTAGTCTTTCAGGCATTATATCAGAAGGTCCCCTAATTCTGGGAATACCCCCATGATGAACATATTGATAATTATCCGAAGATAAGCAATTCCTCTGATGGCCAAAGGAGGGCGCTAAATCAATACCACCTGGTTCATGTACGTCATCATCTTGTAGTTCGATCAAGTTTCTTCTCCGGCGTCTCCTTCGGCTCGACTGGCCAAATCAATTCCTTCATGCCGCTCTTCAATAACTTCCCGTTGTTTTCCTTTAAGAGCCGCCACAATTCGTCCTCCCCCCGGGTAAAGGATTATCGAAAACCTTGAAACGATTCGGAAGATCCATTACGATCCAAATCATTCCTCCTTTCACTCGAAGAATTCATCTTTGGCTCAATGTGGAGTATTAAGCATCTCGCAATCAGGAGATTCCTAATCTTGTTGGGTATACGCAATGGCATAAATTTGCACAATTTGGAGGAGGAAGACAAGCTGTTGTCTGGGTATTTGGATGATACGAACCTCCTCGAGATCATGGAAGTTCGGATAATAAAGGACCTGGAGGGAAGATTTCAGCAGAGCAGGAAGCCCTGAGGCGAACTTATGAGAAGCTGGGGGCTATAGTTGATGATGACCGGGGCATTCTGAAGGGATCAACGAATAGAGCGTTAGATAGCTTATCTTTGAGTTTCTGGCTGCTGCGTCAAGAGCAGGTACCTCGAAAGGGATTGCAGGTGTTCCTGGGAAGAGAAGTGCATACGTTCCAATTTCGCACTCCTCTACTTGGAGTGTTTGATTGCTTCTGGAAGGACATTTCGGACGGGGAGGTGCTTGTTCGATCTGGGGAAAAATCCGATTTGGTGTTTGTCCGGATGCAATCAACCTCTAAGAGTAACAGATATAAGAGCCAAGCTGCATGAAGTCGTGATTGCCTTAGATACGAGTGAGATTGGCGGGGGTTCAATATATAGGTCAAGATTAATCTCCCGGGGGCTTCGGGAAATGCGTACTAAAGGAGGAAAAGGATAATATTGACGGAGAAGGTATCAACCTAAATAAACCATAGAATATGCTAGTCTTCGGCTTCGTCGCAAGAAAGAAAGCTAAGCCGTGCACTTGAATGAACTAGCCGGGCAAAAGGTCGATCATCTAGTGGTAATAAAAAAAAACGACTAAATAAAATAAAGTGGCCTAAATAAAACGTAATAATTAATATCACTAAAATAATCAAAATGAAATTAAAAAATATATAAGCAATATATCGGCATTAATTAGCGGAAAATTCCCACCCCAAAGATTCGAAAATCAATGCGAATCGAATTCATCTATAAATCCCCAATTTATTTTCTTTTATAAATATATTATCCTAAAATAAATCGAAAATATATTAAATTCTAAAAAATGGGGTTGGTAGAGAATATAAAACAAATAAAGAAAATATAAAATAAATAAATCAATAATTAAAATATCATTTCTTCCTATTAATTCATTCATTTTCATAAATTTTGTAATTGCGAATTCAAAAAATATCATTAATCAATTCATTATTATATTTATAAAATTCAAATAATTATTGTAATTTAAATTCATAAATGTATTTAATTTATAAATTTTAAAAAAAAATAAGTTATTTCTATCCAAATTATATATTAAATATATTAAATTATAAAAATCTATTATATATATAAAATATTAAATTTAATCAATTAAAAATTATATTAATATAATATCTAATTATTACAGAAATATTTATAAATATATATGTATAAATCATAATTATATATATATATAAATAATCCTAATTAATAAAATTTATATTAATTCATTCTAAATATAAATCAATAATTTAACATATATTTCCCAATATATATATATATATTATATAAATATTATCAAAATACAATATATACACAAAATCATATTATATTTAAAATATCTATATATGAAGCAAAAATATATCTTGATATTTTCCACCCAAAGATCTACAAATTGTGTTTTAGTTATGTTGGTTCTTTTCTTTCAAGATCATCAAGTTGGAAAGGTTTCCTGCGTCGTAGTCATTTCTGTTTCTATATTTCCTCCATCATTGATTATTCCTGTTGTGGAAGTCGTTTGGTCATGATTCCCTTCTGGCACATCAGCTCCTCCCACCGTGGTAGTGCCTTGTTCGTCTTTGCTTCCACCTAGCACATCACCTGCTCCCAATGTGGTAGAGGTTCCCTCATTGTTTGCACCAAGGCTATCAGCACCGGTGGTGGAGACATCTTCCTCCATCCCACCAGCAGTCTCTTCTCCTCCACCGGTCGTTGTGGCCTCTTCAGACTCATCTCCGACATCGCCGCTGGTCGTCACCTCGCCCTCTTCACCGGGAACACTGGTGCCACTGGTGGTGGTCATCTCGGGTTTGGTGGTGGCTTCGGTGGCGGAGCTTTGATTCGCGTTCTTCGCCTTCTTCTTGGCCTTCTTGGACTTCGTGGAGGTGGTGGCCGTCGTCGCGGGCGTGGTCGTGGGCGTGGTGGTGGGCGTGGTGGATGGAGTGGTGGATGTGCTTGGCGTGGTCGTCGGTGTGGTCGTTGGTGAGGTCGTGGATGCCTTGGAATTCGAAGCTCCGAAGCTCGATGATGTTTATGTTCTTAGCAAGGGCATCGCTACTAGGAACAAGAAGCTACTAGGAGCAAAGGGCATCGCTACTAGGAGCAAGAAGCTAGATCGAAATCATGGCCTGTCAATTTGGAGCTTTCATGTTGAGTATCTCCTATTCCCTGGGCCCAGTGGATGATGATGGGGCCTGGTTGCAGGCTGTTCCATCTCTTAGAGAAGTGATGTTCTTGTTGATTCTTCCTGTTACAGGTGAATTCGGACACCCCCAACTTTCCTGTGCCACTTCACATACCCGGATATTTCACTGCCGAGCCCGTTAGCGCGTGGTACTTTTCGGCGATGACACGTCTTCTTCGCTTCTTCGCTTGGATTCGGAAAGATCGGGTCACCTAAAAAACACCGTCCCAACCAGAAATACATGGTTGTTCCAATGTGGGTGTGGGTCAATGCACCGGGCGGATCCTGCCTTGACCGGAGAACATGAACAGAATGGACCACCTATCAGGTCAATTTGCCCGGTACCCTTCGAATGATTGGCCCTCTCGTGACATGGTCAAACTGGAGTGTTTTCACCACCGTTCGTGACATGGTCAAAGTGAACATGGTCTTCCGCGCCATCCTCTTCCACCCTCCAGTCCCGGGAGAGTGTCGACTCCACAAAGGACCGGACCAAGTGGCCCCCAAACGCGTCATGTTCGGACGCCGTTCGCGTTCGCGTTCGCCCAGTGCTTTCAGAGGTTCGATGGCACAAGTTAGCCCAAGCTTGGTGGTAAATAGAGACCCATCTAAATTGGCGCCGTCGAACCTCTGAAAGCATGATACCACCTGGTGGATTGATTTGTGCATAGCTGCGGTCGTTGAGCTTGACGCCGTTCGCCCTGAGGGTTTTACAGCATCAGCGTTGACCTGGGGAGAGCGTTTGATCCGCAGGGGCTGGACGAATGATCCGATGGGTAGTGGAATGATCCGTTGAAGCATCTACAGATTGGGAATCATAGTGAGATCATTGCCCCTTTCTTTGAGCAAAATGAGAAGGATCCGAGATCAACATCGAACAAGTACAGCTATGACATAGCGAGAAGGATCTGCATGGCCGCATCTGAATTCAGTGCGGCAGCTTTGGCAACGTCCGCAGACGTGCAAACATCCGAGATCCAAAAACATTCACAAACCCATTTCAGGGACCAAAGAAACAAACACCTTCAAAGGAATGTGCCATTTTTGCCCAAGCCGCTGCAGCTAGCCCGGCTGCTGTGGCGGCCGCCGCCGCTGCCTGCGCGGGCGTCATGCCATAGGTGATGCCCGCCTTACGCGCCGCGTCAGCTGCCGCCTCCGCGTGGTGTTGGAGACATTTGGGGATCAGATCTTTGGTGTACACCCAAAGAAACCATCTATCTATGAGTTGTAAAAGAGCTCTAAGGCACATATGTTCAAAAACATGGTTACTGTATGTGAGTCCATCCCAAACACTCCATGTTTGGCCTATTCACGATCATATATATTTGGGTCACATGGAGTGTTTGGGTCTCCGCCGATCCGGTGGGTTCCACCTCTCCAGTCGAAGCACGAGAGAGTGTCGGTCTCCGACACTCTCAGAGATGATCGTGGTCCCAAAACCCCTTTCCTTCAACCCACCCACCCCTGGAAGGAAGATAGAGAAGCTCTTCCAAAAAGAAAAAGACAAACATGCTACTACATCATGCATCTATCCCTTTTATAGGGATTTACTTTTCTATCTAGTCTACTGTTTTTTGGAGACGTCAGGAGACGTCAGTGGCCCGTGGCCACCACCTTGGACCCCATCGATCTCTTCCTCAAGCAAGCAGTCATGCTTGGCCCATCGATGCCACCCACTCTCACTCCCCCAAAAGAACCACCCCCATACCCCCCAAATCTTCCAAACCCCTGTGGCCCAGGTCGCTTGGACGAAAAAAACACCACCCAAAAAGCCTCACACGCCACACGAGCATCCCTTCCCACGCCACGCAGAAAAACACCACACGAACCGGATCACTCCGACGCACGTCCCGACACGTCGCCGCCTTGACGATCTCCGCGTTGCCCTTCCCCTCGGACGCCGTCTGATCCGCGGCCGCGACCGCGGCGGCGGCCGCCGCGGCCTCGGCGGCCGTGAAGTTCAAGCGCATCCCGGCCGCCTGCGGCGCTGGGGCGTGTGGCGGCGGGTGCTGTGGAGTGTTTTGGCTGCCCGCTTGCGCGGTGGGTGGGGAGTTGATGAGGTCCTGAAAACAGGGGTCATCGCCAAGTCACATGACGTATGTTGGTGCATCTGTTGGGTGCAATGAAGCGTCGTCTCTCGATGACGGCTCCATGACAAAGTGGGAGATCCGGAGATGGAACTGGCATGCTGGCTGAGCCGTCTTCCGGAGGTTTCCCGGGCGGATGAGGAAGACTGTGACCGACTCAGGAAGTTGGCTGTAAATTTATGAGACTTACATCAATGGATTTGATGGATTGCGGCATGAATGGACTTCATCATTGATGTAAAATCCATAAATTCTCAGAGACTGCGGCATCTAGTTCATCACGGATCAAAGTTGTTTTTTTGTTTCCCCCGCTCTTCCTCCACATGAATGAACCAAAAGCACTGTACAAATGGCCGTGTTTTGTTGGCAAAATGTTCTTCAAACTACTAGAACACTGGTGGCCTGTGGGTTGGCTTCCCAACAGCAGGTCACTTCCCAGCTGCCTTGCCGGCATCATAGGCAGCCTCTGCTGCCGCCATGGCCACCCTCAGTGTTTTCGTGTAGAGCGTGGCACGCTCTGTTCCAAACGAGATAAGTCATTCGAAGGGTCTGGCCGCATGGCAAAATGAACTGCTGATCATGCCTGAGCTTGTATGAAGCATCATCGCCATTCTTATCCTCTTGCAGCTGGAGCAGCTATGCCAACAGCTGTACTCACCCAAGCCACCACACCCCCAGAACCTCCCTTCCAGCTGAAATTGGCCACCAAGTCGCTCTTCCACGTTCTTCCCCGAGGCCACCGCCGCCTTTTGCGCCGCCAAGCCGGCCACCCTCGCCTGAGGGCGCGACGGGCGAGTCTGAAACTGCCAACCGCCCGTCCTGGCATCTCTCACTCAATCCTTCCAGGCATCGTTCACCATCAAGATCGGCTTAGGCCTGGCCTCTTTGGAAGAAAAGGGATGTGACCAAGCACGCTCCATTTTTTCAGGGCGGGTGGGGTTGGCTTGCGTGTCAATCCGTGGTGGCAAATATCAAGCAAACACGCCAAAAGCTTGTGAAAGGTCGGGATGCTCCCTTTCAGGCTGTGCAGGCTGTGCATCCCCCCCGAGTACAGGAAGCAATCATGTGCACCGGCGGCATGCGGTGGAACAAACAAACTAACTAACCCAACCTAACTTAACTTATATATATATATAACTTAACTTAACTAAGTAACTAACTGCACAACTAATTAAGTATTTGCTTACTAGCTATTAGCTAGCCACCAACCAACCAACATTAAGTAACTGACTAACCAACACTCAAACGAACTGACTGACTAACTAATAGGCCCCGGACAGCCGGATTTGCTACCAAACAAATGCCCTGAGTAAGCAGTGGAAGTTCTCCAATTCTCGTCCCCCCGAAGTACCTGGAGGGTAGACCCTGCATGTTACAACGAGTCTCCTCAAAGAAAAATCACACCAAACATCACCAAACCATACAATACATATACTAATACATATATGTATATAGATAGCTAGATAGATAGGTAGATTGATTGATAGATTGATTGATTGATTGATAGATTGATGGATCGATTGATTGCTTGTATGTCTGCGCACCGTTGTAATTCTTTTCATAACATATAGTAACAATCTATCTCGTAATCATATGTCAACTAATGTGTAGGAATGTACCATCCAGTCGCCCTGTCGAAGCCGAACGGCCGGTCGTGTGTGCTCCGACACACCGCTCCCCCACCGAGGCACGGCCGTCTCCGCCGCTTTGGCGTCCGACATGCCCAAGTCCTGGGCACCGATGCCGGGTGCCGACACGGTGGGGTTTTTCTGGGGTGACAAGACCAGTGGATCACCTTGCTGCAGTCGTAGAAAAGCTGCGTTGGGCTTGAGCGACCTGTTCTAAAGTTGTGATGTACATGTGTTTTTTCTGGTGTTTTTCTGTAGATGTTTCTTCCGAAAGATGTACATGTTTCGGTGAGAGGAACTGGTGAGAAGAGTGTGATGAGAAAGGGCCAGAAAGCGTGCGAGTTCTTGTGATAGGTGTGCATGAGAAACATCGCATGAAAGGGATGTTGATCGATCACATGGTGGATGTGTGAGGATCAATGATCCACCGAAAGGGATCCATACTGGTTGTGCATGCCAGGTACGTGTACGACTGGAGGGCATCAGGGGTATGCCCTCCATGGATAGTGTAAAAGGCCAGTTGTTTTGCCTTTTGTTACTAGTAGCTTCTTGTTACTGGTAGTAAGGCCAAGGGCCCCTAGTAGCGTCCTTGCTCCTAGTAGCGATGCCAGGAGCCCCGTTCGTAGCGTCCTCTACCCCTTTTAAAGGCCAGTTGTTTTGCGGAGATCTCTTGGAGAGAACGCAACCTCTTCACCGGTACGTTGCGGGAGGATTGCTGTGGTTCAGATGTTCCCACTATATATATCCAGCACCCTAACAGGTGGTTTCTGGGCACCTGTTGTCACCAGGAAGCACCTATTAGAGGATGCTGGTGTGTGTGTATATATATATAGGCTCTGGCATTTGCAACATCTATATAATATTATATTATATAATGCTCAGATCTGGGCCTGTCGGGATTCTTAGCTTCTATCTCCCGAACCAGCTCCAACCGTCAGCTTCCTGATCTGAGTAAAGAAGCCGGAAAGAGGTAGCCACGAAAACAGCCAGGAACGATAGTAAGAGCCTCTACGAAGAAAAGAAACATATGTATGTCCTTCCAGAAACGACCAACACCTTCAACAAAAACAACATCCAAATTACCAAAAACCGACCTTTTTCTCCATGCGCGTCCCACCCGCCTTGGCAGCCTTTTGTGCTTCGTCTCCAGCATGCTTCACCAACTTCTCCTGTTCGATACGATGGCATACAGGTAGCGCGCGTATTTTGTGTTGATGTGTCGTACCCTCGTCAACTCCCTATAGGGGCCGGCAGGCTCACGGCTTTTCTGACAGGGACCGGTCAGCCGGTCAGAGGATGTGAAGTGTTCCCATCTTTTGGAGAGCCCATTATACAGTAACTTATCATATAGCTTGACGTGATTACTATCACACCTCATAAAATCTTGTCAGAAGGAAATATCCTCCTTCTCTTCAGAAACGGAGAAGGAAAACCAAATGGACAAGGTCGTGTCTCACAGTCAGTCATCCCAAGTCTTCCCCCCAGTCGCAGAGGGGCACGAAAGACCTGTGTCGCATGCACGTTTGCTCTCGACGATGGATGATTTGCTCTCGAGTGAACTCCAGAGTTCTCCCCGTGCTCGTCGGTGATTCCGAGAACAAAGGAACAGCAAACGGTCCATCAACAGTAATTATGGGTCGACTCATCATTGATCTGTCTAAACCCCTCAGGCCTGAAATGAGGGCACTTGCCATCCGTGGAAAAGGTGAGAGGCTAAGATTCATCAAGATCTTGCATTAAAACCTTCCAGCACGTGGGCACTTGCCCGGGTTGATTCCAACGCCTAGGCTCTAGACGATCTGTTCCTGATGGTTAGAGTACGTATTTGAGGAGAGCCGAAGTAAGTTTAAACCTGGTGGCGGCTCTCCAAAAAGTGGTGAACCTCTGAATGGTACAGTCGAATGGCACGACTTAGCGAAGTTAAACATGTATTTCATGAACCCCAAAAACATGTTTCAACAAGACTATGTCTATGTGTTGAATGAAGCCCAAGTATGACAGTATGAGGGAAAAGAGTCTCCACAATCCTTAATCACCTCAAGAACCGGATCTCAACCGCCTCGTCTATGACCTCTCTCGACCGAACTCTGTAAACCCACCGAGAACCGAGCTCAGGTCAATTTGAATTAAACACAATGAGTCACTGTGCAAGATCTCGCTCAACTCATTGCTTCGGCTTGCAGGTTCTCGCTTCTCATGACTTCCAAAAGGTGTGGAGGGCAACCAACCAATCCTTTGAAACCCCGCTGTGCAGCCCTGCAGCCTGTCCGCCTACTCCCAGTGTCCCTCCACCGCCCTCACTCCTCGGTCTTGTTCCGCGTGGTGGTCACCTTGGCGATATGACAAGGAACATACATCAAAAGACAAATGAATTGTTGGATCAGGATCAAACAACCCTTTTTCAGAACATACCTCCTTTTCAGAACCCACCATGTCACTCACGTCCTTCTCCTTCGGACAGATTCTCTTCAAGAAAGACACCGGACGTCACTCACAGGACGTGAACTGTGGTGCCGCTTCACGGGTCCACGTCACTGGAACGGGGAGACCGCGGGAGACCGCGGGAGACCGCGGACCATGGTAGCCTCGACAACAATACGCGGAGACCAGGCCTCGACTGGAACGACTGGATGGGGGCAACCACATGGTGGTTTGGACACACCGTCTGGTCATGAAGACGTGACAGTGTGTCCAAAGCACCTCTTGGAGTAGACAATCCCTTCGTAAAACCAATCCGAAGACATGACAGCTCTTTCCTATAGGCTTTGGGACTTTGCAGGATTTTGCATGCAGGATAAATGGTGAGCCTCAGAGATGATCAAGAGATGTAGCAAGTCTGCACTGTCGATCGAATTCTGCACCACAAATGGGGGCGAAATCGCGCCCACAAACCTGAAGGTCTTTCGGCTTGAAATGGCAAGTCATCACAGTCGTCCTTCAACCCACCGGGTGCTGGAAGCACCCGGTTTTTTCAACGCAGTCTTCCACATCTCATACGTCTCCTCAGGTTTGGGGTCCAACAGGTCAGGCTATAGGGCCACTCGCGAAAACCATGTAGAAAGACACCTTATATATAGCGTCCGATCGCTCCGTTCGTAGCGATGCCACGAGCCCGTAGCGAACCTTGTTCCTAGCAAGAATGCTACTAGTAGTAATGCCCTTGTTACTAGTAGCTTCTTGTTCCTAGTAGTAAGGCCAGGAGCCCCTAACTACCGGATCCTTCCCACACCAAATGCATCACGATTACTTTTCTCTCAAAAGCTCTCTGCTGGGTGTAGTGTGATTGTTTTCATGTGTTCATAAACAATTAGTTACAGTTATAACCATATGATATTACCCGAATCGCCACCAAAACGAAAGAAAAACCTCCGCTGATCAACACTCCGTCACCGGAATGGTGGTCGTCACCGTACTGGTGCTCGTCGCCGTACTCGTGAGGGTGCTGGTGGTCACCGTGACGGTCGTCACCTTGGAGTGGTGCACTGGTCATGATGAGCCGGGAGCTCTTTTGGGAGCATCTCTCAATCGACTGACATGGCTTGAAGTGCAAAATATTCCTTGAGTGCATGGGCCTGTTTTTAAAGAGTCGGATGTTGTATGATGTTGGATAATTTTGTGGTGTTCATATGGGACTTGGGAGACATGGCGACTAATCAATGAGATAGACGCGACTTGTGAGTGGCACGTTTTCAGCCAAGATGGCTGAAAAAGCTCAAACCTGAAAAACTCCATGGTCTCTTCTATTGGGCATGCCTCACAAATCATGAGGTGCATCATCAGATATACATACAGTATTAAAATTGTTATATGACGTATATTAGGTTTTCTGGCAAAAGACAAACACCTAGCACAGCAAGTCCCTGGGTCCTATGTCTTGAGCCATGGCCACCTTGAACAGAGTCCCTGAATCTTACATTCGCTGCAACTCGACGGAGCATGTTCTATCCACCAAGCAACTGTGACAGTGTCTGTGGTAGTGGTCGTTGTGGATGCTGGAGTGGTGCTGGTCTTGGACTTTTGATTCTTATGCTTCTTCTTCTTCACCTTCGACTTCGTTGTCGTGACGGTGGTACTGGTGCTGGTGGTGCTGGTGCTGGTGGTCGTGGAGCGCGTGGTGGTGGTGGTGGTGGTGGTCGTTGCGCTGGCCCTGCGGCGCTGATCGTCGCTGATGGTCGGGCGCTTGGTGGTGGACTCCTCGTCCTCCTCTTCTTCACCGTCACCGTCACTGTCAGAATCCATCCTTGGAACCCGTGAATGCCAGAGAAACACGAAACCTGAATTCATTATGGTGGACGTGGATGGCATGGTCCCAAAAAGAGTGTCATCTTCCGAAGACCAAACAGGTGGTGAACTCCACTTCCATGATAGTTGGACACTCCCTGAAATCCTCACGTAGATGTCATGGCCCGGAAAGGATGACCGTGAAATGCGAAGAACTCCAGTAATTACCCAGACACACCATGTCTGTCTGTCATATATGCCTACATTGACCCCTCAAACAACCCCAATGTAGGTGAATATGCCCATACATGGAGTGTCTGGGTTTTATCAGGGAAAAGATCGAAGCACCGTGCTCCAATGGCGGGGCTTTGGTGGGTGTGAAGATCACCACAGTGGCAACTCTTCTTTTGACCTGCGAATGTAGCATTCACTAATAAGACCCAACAAACATGTCCTGTGAGTCTGTGAGCAGGAACCAATCCCATCTGTCAACAAAGTTCCAAGAAATTCAGACCCCAACAAATCTTCACTTGAACAACTCCAAAGCTTCTGGTTGGTGGTTGTCGTCTTTTTATGTCTTCTTCCTTTCACCTTCTCTGGCTTCTCTGGCTTCTCTGGCTCCGCGGTTGTGGTTTCCACATCCACGTCAGGTCCCTCCTCATCAGCCTCATCAGCCTCATCGCTAGTGCCGCTAGTGGTCATAGGGCTTTCTGTCGTGGTGTTTTTTGTCTTCCGTCCGGCTTTGCCGCGCTCTTGTGGAGAGGATTCTGCAGGTTCCCCTTCTTCAGAGCCTTCCTCTTCTCCACCTGCTGATTCTCCACCTGCTGATTCTCCTTCTTCCGATTCTCCTTCTTCCGATTCTCCTCCTTCTTCTTCTGATCCTTCTTCATCTGCACCCTCCCCATCTCCAGGTTCTTCGCCTGCGGCCTCATCATCTGCAGCTTCTTCTTTCTCTTCTTGGTTTCTTCCTTTGGTTTTTCTCCGCTTCTTCTTTGACACCTTCTTGGTGCTTTCTTTCTGCGTGCCTTTGGCAGCTGTGCTGGTCTTGGTGCTGGTCGTCTTGGTGGTCGTCGTCTTGGTGCTGGTCGTCTGGGTGGCTGTCGTTGTGGTCAGCGTCGTGGTGGTCAGGGTCGTCGTGGTCCCTGTGACCTGAGACAATCTCTCTCAGTTTCCCCACCAAATCAAGGTCAAGGACCCAGGAAAAGACACATCCTGTGCTGTTTTCTCATCCTGTGCTGGTAGGTCAAGGCTTTTCCTATCTTTTCCTACCAGCCACAGGATGTGTCTTTTTGTGGCCTTTCTTTTTTCAGCCCACTGCTCTCTGAAGCCAGCCCCCAGATCCAGCGATGCAGGAGTGGTCAGATGCAGGCATGTCTGGAGTCTGGTGCTTCAGTGGGAAATTCCCCCCACTCCCCCACCACTCCCCACGACCCAGACCCGGACCCTCCACCCGGACACCGAACGGACCACGGTCCGTCCGGCGAGGTCGTTCGGCTCGGCACCCCGGCGGACGGAACGGCAGGTGCGGTGGTGCGGAAGGGGTGAGGGTTCCGGCGGTGCGGAAGGGGTTCGTATCGGACGGGATGGGAGGTGGAGGAGATCCTAGACCTCATGTGTAGACTCCTAGATATGGAAAAAAATGACAAGAACGCCCCATAGGAAGAGGTTTTGGCCATCCATGAGACATGGGTGTGATTCTTTGCATGAGTTTGGGAGTTCACTCCGTTCTAACGCCGACATCTCAACGTCGGGTGAGCTGGAACTGGCGTGCCTCTCGAGACTCTCGGCCTCTCGTTAGTAGCGATGCCCTTGTTACTAGTAGCTTCTAGCTACTAGCAGTAACGCCAGGATATGCCAGGAGCCCCTAATAGCATCCTTGTTCCTTGTTCCTAGTACTAAGGCCAGGAGCCCCGTTCGTAGCTTCTAGCTTTTGACCCACGGCCATTTCATCCTTTGATCTGTGTTGGGTCTGTCTTAACTCACCAAGCGGAAAAAAATCCGGAAAATGACAGGTGATGGGATAGACATGGATAGACCCAATACATGTGGTTTGTATTGGTTCATGACTGGACTAGTCCCCAAAAGCAATGGCGTCCACGTGGCGGAGTGGTGGTGGAAGAGTCCACGTCCTTTGTCCACTGTCTGGGTATAGGACTGGTCTTCCATGGAAAAACCGGAAGAGTTACCTACGTGGATGGGTCATATGTACCATGGTCATGTTCAATCCTGTTACATGGAAAAAGGACCCACCCCATGGCTTGTTGTATATACCATGGGCTGTATATCAATGGTTTGTTTCACCCTTCCAGTCCCAGTCCCATCAGCCCCTTGACCTTTCTACAGCTCCAGTCCTGAAAAACCGGACTGGAGGGAGTCTGAGTTGCTGGGTACGACCAGCTACAGTTCGACTAGTACGAGTCGGAGACGTTGACCCGGCGGTCTGGATCGGGTTCACCCAGCTCCGGTCCGTACGAACGGTACGGATACGGTATGGGATGCATGATGGTAACTCTTCCAGGAAAACATGGGTGTGAAAAAGGGATCTGCACGAGAACTCGTAAAGAACCTGGATCTGAGAACTCATGACCTTCAGGTAAACTTGGAGAACTCATTTGACTTGGAGGCATTGCTGGTAGCTTGGAGGCCATCACTACTAAGGTGGAGGACATCGCTAGTAGGTTGGAAGCTATCGCTTCTTTTGTTTTCAACATCGTGACTCCCATTTTTGTGCCCCTTGTTGCAGCAAGCAGGAGCTCCGCCAGTGGAACTGGCGGTCTCCTCCAGAAATCCTGTGATGAATGAATAATTAATTATGATTCATCTGACTTATAGTCATTGACTCATAACTCCTCCCTTTTCTGCGTATTCAGAGCACTGTTGTAGTGGTCAATGTGGTTGTCGAGGTAGACGTCGCAGCCTCTGATCTGTTGCCGTTCCCGGGTCTTAAAGACCATGTTTAGTGCGGTTGAGCTGGTTCTGTATAGTGTTAAAGTCTCTAAAACAATATTAACACTATTAAACAATAGCTAGGGGATATTTCAGGAAACAATAGTTAAAACAATAGGTCTTGGGGAAATATTTCCGGAAACAGGCTATCAAATCAGTACCTTCGCATCTCAGGGTTCTTTTCGGGGGGAATTCAGAGCGACGGTGCGGCGAGGCGCCAAGAGGGGCCAATCTCTCGCAGCGACGACCGGTCTCGCTTGGGTTTCTGCTGCTCTTGCAGGTAGAAGAAGCGTGGGCGGGAAAAAGGTCACATCATCGAACGGTTGGTCGGTCCGTCAATCTGCGGTATATCTTGGGTATACGCATTGAAAAGCAGTAAGTGTGGACGATGATGGTTGCCTGGTTGCAGGCCGATATCTCTAAAATTGTGATACATGTTTTACCAACTGTTACAGGCAAGAGGACAGACCCTAGGTATATCCATGTATAACCAGTCACAGTGGATTCTCTTCCGAAGTCTGTTGCCACCAAACCAGACGAAACCGGGCAGTGTTCACATACCATGATGGCTAGTAGGTTGGAGGCTGACATCTCAAAAACTAACATGGAACCTGAGGATTGACCGGTGGAAGACCATTTTCCTCTACAACCCAGTGGTTTTGGGGTTCCATGTTAGTAATGAATTCTGTTTCCATTTGTTATGGTTCCTGGTACTGGGACACACTCATCCAGTCAATCCAGTCAACCCGGCCTTTTCACCTTCCTTGGTCTCTTTCGTCTGGGTGGTGCTCGTCGTGCTCGTGTCCGTGATCGTCGTGACCTTAGAAGCTGCAGTTTCCATAAAGTTGGACCCACTCAAGATCACTCAAAGATAGACCCCGTATGACCCCCGTAACTCTATAGGTAAGGAAAAACACTAACACCAAAACATCTCAATGTTCCGTCGCACCCCAGTTCGAGAACGGACGCGGATGATCGCGGATGCGACGCCAGTTTGAGCAGCCCTTGAAGTCACCATTGATTCAATAAGAGTTTAATCGCCTGCAATCCCAAAGAACCCCTCGCTTTACTCTGGATGTTGTACGAGTATAACCAGATCTGCCCCATTTTATAGAATGGTCGAACCGACTTCCAGGGCCATTGAGTTTGTTCAGATCATCTTCAGTCCACCCAGGTGCTTGCGAACGAATCTGATGGCTATCGCTTCAGGCCCATCACATTTGCGCTCAATGAACAGACAGACAGACATTATTAGACTGTAATTATTGGACATGTCTTTCTGTTCTGTTTTCTCCAACCTAGAAGCGATGGCCTCCAACCTAATAGCGATGGACATTACCTAGGCTCGCAAGATGTTGCAAGGCTCTTCGACCATTTTCTGGCTCTCGGTATTGCACATTGGAGCAGTTGGCAGAACCTTTTGTGGTGACAAATCTCCGTTGGAACGTGTAAACATGTTGTTTACGCGTCTAAAGAACCCTATGCAACCAGTAAACACGTAAACATCTACACGGCATGTAGATGAAGTGCAGCATCATAAAATAGCAAGGCATCTGCAAATGATGGGTGTACGGTTCAGTGTCTTATATGCTTTGGTCGTCCAAGTCACTGTGGTTGTGGTGCTGGTTCGCGTCGTGGTCTTTGTGGTCGTCGTGGTAGTGGTCGTCGTGGTAGTGGTTGTCGTGGTCGTCGGTGCGAGCTCTACGCCCTTCTGCACAAAGTACATGTTGCTAGCCTCTTTTAGGAGAAGAAGCAGCTGGAGGTTGCGCTTTTGTCAACACAACCGGGTTTGCCCAACCATCAAGGAGCATGTCAGACCACATGTGTCAGCCACATCACCAACAAATGCGCCTCCCTGTGTTTTTTGTCGTCTTTTAAGGAAAAAAGTGTGCGTCCTAAAAGGCTCTAACTCTCGTTCGACATCCTCCAAGATGGGAGTTTTCTGGTTGATTCCTTGTTGACCTTTCAACAGTCCTTGCGCACACATGTCTGAAAACACAGTCCTTCCATCAACCCTTCAGTTTCCTTCGGTTCCCAGTTCTCATCCGCTTCGATGGAGCAAATCCAGGCATTGTTCAATGTTCCATCCAACAAAGACCCGCATCCTGGTTTTTCTGTAAACGTCCTTCGCCCAAACCTGAGGTTCTTCGGCTATTTACAGGCTATTCCAATGCCCCATTGGCGTGGTGCCTTGCGAGCCCCGATCCGAGCCGAGCGTCTGGCCGACCGTCTCGGTCGACTGGTCGGTACATCGGCGCTCGGACGCGGCGGTCCTACCGGTCCTACCGGGTCCACCGGAATCGGTGCGCGCGGAGCGGCCTGGCCGGCATCGTTGTAGGCTCTCACCTGAGATGGATCCGAGTGGCTTCGATCAACCCGGAGAGCTTGGGCCGGCGTGTAGAAGCAGATGGGGAGCTCCCAAGCCGGGACCTCCCGGACCTCCACAACGCAATGGGGACCTCCACAACCCTATGGATGTATAGTCTGTCTTGGATCTTCCTGGAGGTCGAAGTGAGGGGTCGAGACCGATGGGAAAATACACCTAGATCCATAGCTTGGACCTCCAAAGATCCCTAGTTATCCCAGGCTACTAAGACCCGCAGAGGCCCTCATTCCGGTCTACAGTGTACAGGTTCCTGTCCTTGGTACAGTACCACTGGTTGCTCCTGAGGATATCCCTGTTTTCCTTTTTGTTAAGGGAGGGTTTTGGCACCAACCGAGGTACCGCGTCATAGGTCGTGGTCCAAGTACGTACCTCTTCAAGCCTGAACAACAAAGCCAGGAATGTCACCTCATCCCTCATCCTGAAGCCTGATCTTCCGAGGACCCAACCAGCACGAATACCAAATGCACCGCCCAAACGGTGCAGATTCTTCCACGTCGAACGAAAGGCGAACGTCGAACGGCTTTGCTCCGAGAAAAATTCAGCGATATGGGGGGCCAACATCAGCTCGGATCAATGAGCAAACACCAATAGAGCCTCTCAAACACTTGGGGTTCACAACGCCTGTACATAGCGCCTCGTAGCACACTCACCTCAACAAAAACATCGCGAGTTGGAACTCTTTCGCAACCTCAAGGGGAGACCCTTCCAGAATCCCCTGCAAGTGCAGGACCAACAAAGTTCGAGACATTTCTCACAGAGCCTCTTCCTTCACTCCTTTCTTCACCGTTCCCAAATCCTTCCTGTCCGAAACTGACCCCCGTTCAGCATGGCCCACTGGGTGCCTCGTAAGCTCGGATTTTGGAATGGATTTTAGAAGATCTCTACCAGGACCCTGTCGGCGCTTCCCTGTCTGGAAGCCTTAAAAATAGGTAGTGTAGGGTACTTCAGCCAGGACACCCCAAAAACGGAGGGTCCTATTTTCCTATATCCTATAGGGACCATGTCCCTCCCCTCCATGTTCCCTGCGAAGCACCCCAGTCTGAGCCTCTTCTCTTCGTCCGAGGCGCCACCACGGTCTCCAGCGCCCGTGCGCCCGGGCTCCCCGAGGGGCCGATGGTCTTGTTGCCTGCGGTTCGGTTCGACGCTTCGACGGCCGGAAGCCATCACCGCCGGAACCGCCACCGAAGCATGGACCGACTCCAAGGCTTTGGGGTCACCATCTCATCCGTTCGGGGGTGTGGTTTTTGTTGTGTGTTGTTTTGTTTTCTCCCCATGCAGTGAGGGGAGGTGACAGCCACCTCGATGTCGTTCGGAACCGGCACCAGGGTTCCATGGAACTGGAATAGACCTGACCTTCTTCTTCTTCTTCTTCTTCTTCTTCTTCTTCTTCTTCTTCTTCCTGGTGGATCCTGGTGACCACTTGGCCTTCTTTGCGGGGCCATGCATCTTGGATGTGCTGGAAAACCCCAAACCGCTGGGCCATGCTCTGACAGAGTCCCAATATTTCCACTCAAGCACACTTGATCCAACTGGACGTGAATCACAGGAGGATTCGGAGCCCATCTGCACGATGGTGAAAGGATGGAGACATACTCGACTGAGGCAGAACCTTATCGTCTTGCAGTGAATGGAACATGTTCATGGACAAGTTGTGTCATATGCTTCCGACTATGACTAAAACCATTCGCCTTTCTGCTTTAAACCCCGATGTGTTCTTCCTCTCACCAGGTGTTGTTCAGCCAAAAACATCACACTAACAAACACACACGACCAAGACCCCAAGTCGTCAACCTCACCAGCCCGATCGCTCCCAGCCCGCCCTCCAGCCGCCTTCCGGAGCCCAGTGGATATTGCCACCAATGTCTGGATAGCTCCAGTGGAACCATCGACTGTCATGACAGCCGCAGCCCTTCTCGTCCATACCTGAAGAACCAACGAAGGCTCAGGCTCTGAGTTGTTTTTTTGGGGGTCGGCGCGTTCGATCGTGATGGGGGTGGTGCTCGGGTGGGGGTCGGTGTTGGTCGAAAGCAACAGTTGTGACACGTTGGTCAACGCGCTGAACCAGTTCTGGTGATCTGAACTGAAGGCCATGACCCACGGCCAGAACCTTTGACTGCTTCCTTCGGGAAGCACGGTCTCTCACTAGACGGAGAAACCCATCTAGAGAAACCGAAGAAGGCCGTGGCCCGTGCTCTCTCCCCTAGCCTTCCAAGGCCATTCAAAACATGGTTGAGCTGGTTTTGTAGTGTAAAATAGTAAAACAATGGTTCTTCGGGATTGCAGCCCATTAAATTCATGGTGTCGTTTTCCTCGTCAAGTCATCGACCCAAACGAACACCCAAACTTTGGCTTCCAACCGCCCTAGGCTGCGCAGTAGCTAAAAAACACCAGCAGCACTCGAGTTTGAGGCACTTGCTTGAAGTGAAGAAGTTTTGATCTCCTCAGATTTACGGACATCTGCTGATACTAGGAGGTTCCTTTGATTGACAGGCAAAAACTTGTCCGTCTCTTAAGAAGACTCCGTCGCATCAGCAACACATCGAATCTACGTAGTTTACAACTATGCCCTAGAAGTCGTGGCCCACCATTGTTTTAATAGCCTGAATCCCGAACAACCATTGTTTCACTAAGGGTTTTACACTACAAAACCAGATCAACCATGTTTTAAAATGGTCGACTTGACTTCAAATGTGTATGGTGTGGTGGTGTGGGTCCCCGTTGGTCCCGTCGCTGCCCCAAGACATCCACGGAGTCGGTCCCCAACCCTGTTAGACACAAGGGAAAGGCGGTGGAGATTTGATAGGACTCCCAGTCGGTCCCCAAGCAAAACGAATCGGATTCTGATGGGTTTGAACCAAAGTTCAGATCCAATTGAACAGGTCTGGACCACTGGGCCGTGGTCACAGCATGTGGGAAACCACATCCTTCAGTCCATTTCAGACACATGCGCCCTTCTTACATGCCCAAGTGCAGCTGAGGGTGGTCTCCAGCACCTTTCCCACATCGTGGCTGCTGTCCGAACTCCACTTGGAGGGGTCGTAGTACTGAACACCTTGCGCATCCGCGCGCCACGCACTTCGCCAGGCAAGTCTTCGATGGAGCAGCTTTGCAGGATGTGGTGAGCACGTCAAAAATGATCCCATTTTACACTTGATGGTGCATCTATTGTCTTCTACTCTTGGCAATTGGGAGGGAAGCTAACTGGAATGTTTGAAGTTGAGAGTATGCACCATGTGTCTTCACTTGTTTTCTATATGTGCTTGGATCTTCGCGGACCGAAGCCTTCCCATCAACCTCACGTGTTGGCCCCCGCATCGTCCGCTTCGTCCGCTCTCCCGATGCGACGAGTCCTGTGCTACCACCGAGGAAGTCTGCCGAAACAAAGACCGTGGTTGAGCTGGTTTTGAGCTGGTTTTGTAGTAAATCCTGTCCAAAAATGGTTCTTCATTAGGCTATTTATATATAAATAGGCTATGATATATGATTAAATCTAAGCCATTACATGCTATTACCAAGCATCCCTCTAAAGATGATCGAACTCCGTGGGAAGAGGGGTGCTAACACCGAGCACATCATTCGTTCCTAGACCGGCAGAGCGAAGCGGCTTCGGCCATTCATTTGGAAACACCAGGAATGGATGGACCACCCACCCAGACCTTAGTCTCCCCAAATGAGAATACAAAGAGTAATAATGAAAATCCACCAAAAACGAAACGAATTAGACTGATCATCTCATGCCATCTTCATCCGGGAACCAGTTCCTTCCTCTTCCACCCTCCATCTCTTTCCCCCCACAGAACCCGCCGTCGCACCCGCCGTCGCACCGGTCTTTCCCGGTCTTTCCCGATCGCACCGACCGACCGCGACCGACGGCGAGTCGAGTCTCCGGTGTCGCCGGGCGGCGGACGGCGCGCCAGAACTTGGTCTTCAAGGGACCCGTGCGGGTGGGATCGGCGTCCTCGGGTACTGTGGGAGATGGGGGGAGATGGGGATCGGTGCGGTCAGTCGGTGCGAAACAGACGGAGCCTTGCTCGTTCGACCTTCGGCGGAGGCGGAGTCGTGGGAAAAAAGCACCAAAACAGCAGAGGTCGTCCAACGAGGCCAAAGGATGGATCGATGGTGGATGGAGGCCCAACCGCTAGCTCTCCAGCAGACACATCTAGTTACCTGTACTTGTTGCCTCTGGCCTTGCTGACCTGCAGGCCAACTGAGCCACTGAGAGCAGGAATGCGAAGGTTAGCATCAGTTCACGTCCTCCAAAAAGCACTGCAGGCGTCCCACAAGTTACCAAAGGTTACAAAAGGAATCCAAAACCCAAAAAGAAAGGCAAACACGATCATGAATGCCAACAGAAAGGTGAAAAAACAAACAAACACAACAAGAACAGCAAAAGTTACCAAAAACACACAACAAAATGACAATAAAATGACCCACACAAATGACAAACATAACAATGAAATGACATTTAAAATGCATAACGCTACCGGGCTAGGGAGAGGATCTGGCATGGGCGTTTCCAGCCGTTGCACTTTGCAGTTGCTTCCGCTGCACATGCAGTTGTTTTCCAGAACACGGTCTTAGATGAGGGACGGTTCTCTCGATTTCGGCGATGCAGCACCAACGCTTCCAGGTAGGAGAACAAAAAAACGGATCGAAGATGGTCTTCACCTCTTCCAATGCTTCTGGAGCTTCATACTTGGACCCTGGGAAGTCGCAATCCTTTCCAGACGACCTGTTCTATAGATGTCTGAGCCTGTCCAGGCCAGGGGTGCATCTACTACCATCCCCCTCGCAGAGCCGCGCGTGTTTGGTGCGCAAACGTCCACACCGCGGCGCCCAGTCGGCTTCGGTGAAGAGGTCGAAGTGATCTCCACATTTCTTTATCTTCAGAACCATGCAATCACCTGAACTAGAGAGGTATTCAGTGACCTGAACTAGACTAGGTCACCTGGGGTGGTAAACATCGAACATTCGAGCCACTCGGCGATCGATCGACACCTGTTGGGCAGGGCTCCCAGGAGGTACGTGCGACTGGAGTGGGGGAGGCCTCGGGCAGACAGGTTCACCGCAGCCCGTCCGCCTCCTCGTTTAGTAGGTGTTCTTCCCAATCCTCAAACGACCTTTGCAGGTGATCCCAAAACACTCAAATCAACTGGCCGCCCCTTCAAGTGGGGGCGGTGGCAATCCTTGCTCGTTCGCATACCGTCAACGCTTTGGGAGGATGGAGTTTGGGCCACTCACCTTGAAGTGACCCTGAAGTGCCCCTGCTCCACGGATGACAGGGCCACCTTAGACATGTCCTAAGGGTGGGATGGGCCAACGAACGCCAGCGTTCACGTTGCTCCGTGTCGAACGTGACGTATACGGGCAAGTGTTGCTTGGCATGTCTGCCAGAACGGTGTGGCCAAGTCTCAGAATATAAACCCTGAGAGCGTTGCAGTGTTTTTGGAAGCCGCACCAAGCTTCATTACTGAGCTGGTGAGGCACCGCTGAGCATTGCGTTTATGTTTCTTGCGCACAAAGAAATCCAAACTCAAACTAGCTAGATGCTCCATGGCAGTGTATTATAGAATAGGGAGTCCCTCGAAAAACACCTTGGAAGAAGGAACATAGACCACAACCCATTGCTGGGTGACTCCCTACTAAAATACAACCCCTTAAAATCGTTTCTAAACTGTGACCCGCCTCAAGGTGGCTCATTTCTTTGGGAAATGTGATGAAAGTTATTCTCCAAAAGATATCCGAAGTAACTTAATGATGACAAGAACTGGAAAAGGAATGATCAATTGAAACATATTAGAACAATCAATGCTCAAGCCAAGGAAGGTGTTGATTTTGACTCCCTTCCCTTCGCCCTTCTCCCTTTCACCCGAAGAACCCTCTACCGTCCGGACCCGTTTACGTCGCAGTCGCCGACGATTCGGTCGGGCGGCCGAACCGTCCGACGCGTCGGAACCGTTGGGTATTTGGAGCTCAAGGCATCAAGGCACAGGCGTAGGGGTCGCAGTACTTCACATCACATTCGCCCCGGAACTGTCGACATCCATCGCTTTCCCTGCGGAGTGAACACACCACCGGTGGCGTGGCGTGGTGAACACACCACCGGTGACGTGGCTGAGAGCGGTTCGAGGTGAAGTCGTTGAAGTATCCGAAAACTCACCCCACAGCGATGAGGAACGGCGGTTTTTGGAAGGGGTGAAGGATCCGAACCCAATGGGAGGAAATCAAATGGGACGACATCCGTTTGATCCGTCAGTCAGTGATTTCAGTCACACGTTCCCTCTGAGTTGGCATCCCCAAATCCACTGGCACTCAGAAGAGCGAATCTGACAACAACGGTCTGCAGGAGAGTAAACCTGCTGATTTCGGGGGTTGCATCCTCACGGCGTTTTTCAGGGTCAGGCTCCAAACGTCCGGTGCTGTTTTGGTGCTGGGGGCGGCTCCTCATCTGACATCCCCTCCGACCCTGATCTCAAGAGGTGTCTGCCTTGTGGAGGGGTGCCTAGTAGATACTCTTCTGAAATCGAACCCGACACCGACACCGACACGAAGGATGTTTTCCTCTACAAGCCACAGGTTTTCAGGGTCCACCGCAGGATCGTCTTCAGATGTCTTCAGGAAATGATGGAACTTTCCGTTTGCAGAATCCACACCTGGTTTCAGCGACTGACACTTGAACATGTGTCATTTCCCATTTCCCCCAGTGGCATTCTGTGGCACCTGCCATTGAGCGATGGGTTCGACATGTTTAATCTATTTTGTGATTTGCCCGACCAATCCGAAACAAACCCGATTCCCATGGTGACCTCCAGTTGATGCAACTCATAAACTCATATACCTTTGACCAGAAAGAGAAAGCAAATACATGCAAATACAGGTATTTGGACAAATCACCAGGTTCAACAAAAAACAGAGTCCAAAACGCATCGATATACAAACCATCTTTGTGGGGTGATACACCCGATGTCGCATCACCCAATACAATACCCATCCATCAACGTCCGCGCGCCTCTGCCAGCACATCAAGCGGCCATCCATCCTCGGCATCGACGACTTTTGAACGCACATCGGACGGTGCGGGAAACGCGTCGGACGGTGGGTTCGGCCAAAAAGAAGCAAAAAAGAAGCAACAGAAAGGTGGTCGGACTCTGATCTGTTTAAAGACTCAACCACTGTGATATGTAAAACAATAGTGTGACTATATATTATGGTATGTTGATTCTTGGAGCAGACAATGGCACTATTTGAGATGGATCGGCTCAAAAAACCATCCAATGGCTTGCCTACATGTAGAGTGAGCTCCCGCTGATGCCAAATAATGGGATGTGCCTGCAGTGTAAAGCAGGATGGAATGTACATCTCAGGTTCTGCTATGTTCTGCCCTCTGTTTTGCTTGAATAGTTGGATCGCAAAGAAAAGAACATATCGGTTTTCAGCATGGCGTGGCTCGCAAGCCTAGGGTTTGAGGGTTGATGTCATGTTATGTCAGGAAAACTCAGACAAAGTCCCAAGCAAATCTACAACACTTAAAAACCGATATGCTGGTCGACGATGAGATGCACATTTGCTCAGTCATGCGTCTTTGCATTATTGGCATAATGTTCTAACAACTTCTTGCAAGTCCAGGAAAGCCCCCGCGACATGCCAACCACCGGATGATAACAGCACTAGGCGACTGGAAGGCCACATGGTAGAACTTGGATTCGACCTGAGATTTGCACGCCGATTCGAACTACGCAGGACCACTACACACACATCGACTATTGTTACACCTGAAACGCAGACTTAGCATGGGTTTCTCGACCAAGATCGTAAAAAAGGCAGTCGCCTTTCATACCGTGAAATGAAATTCCTTTAGACCAAGCATGCTTCGTCGGAACTTCCGCCCCGAACTCGGAGATTGCTGTGATGGACCCTTTTGCATGTTGCAACATGGCTCAGATGTTGGGTACATCATGGTATATCATATATATGTATATATATATATCGTATATCTCGTTACCAGGCCCGGTGGATGATGCTAGTTCGTAAAAGACCTTTCCCAAAGAGCGATCATGTTTTATATACAGACGGTGATTGGTTATTGGTAGTGGGACACATCCTAATCGGATAAACATGGGCCCCCAATTCAACAGCGCTTTGTAGCAAAGGCCATGCACCTTTGTCAAGGAGTCCGGGTTTGAAGAGGAGCGTGCCCAAAAGTATCCCAGCTGGTTTCACACTGCAGATATATTATTTATAAAGATCCGCCCTGTATTCACACATTCAATTCAACTCTTTATATCTCTTTACCTCATGACTCAAGTCCTCCCAAGGTCCTAAACAAAACGCTCCCCAAAAACGCTCCCAAAAACAAAAGAGGACAACTCTGATTCTTCTTCTTTCTTCTTCCCAGCCACTGGCATCTCCGCATCCTCTGGCAAATTCCACAGCTGCGCCATCCTCCCATCGAAGCCCGCGGCCATCAGCACCTCACCACGCTCATCGTCCGCTCTGGGGCTCAAGGGAACGAATGGGACAGCCACTGATCCAAAAGCAACTCCCAGACGGGACTCCGCATCCCCAAAACGCGACCTGTCTGGGACTGCCATAGGACTGCCAATCAATTGGCCCATGGGTCGCGTTAGGGCATGGGACTGGTATAGGACTGCCGAGAAACGGCCGAGAAACGGGGTGGTAGGTCTTTCTGGGGGGTCTTTCTGGGGCGCCAGTCCGCAGTCCCATGGGAGTGTATGGGACTAATTCTTTCAAAGAAAGCAACTGATCCCTCTTCCCACCCTGGCAGGGGCACACCCTGCGGGCCGACCTCCGTTTTCCGAAAAAAAAACAGTGGTTGGGTGCTGCGATGCGAACCAGAAATAAGAGGCCTTCGAGGCCCGTCCCAAAAAACGTGGTGGAAGAATATGGAACCTGAGAACCAGAACTTGACCTTCCTTGCAAAAGTCCTTTTTGAGGTTCCAGGTGCGTCTCTTCCCGGGTCTATTCACATCCCAGCCGCACCCACCGGAGCGGAATCCGTGACCAAACGGGTCACGCCGCGGCTGCGGTTGACCCGAACAACCCGGCGGCGCCAAGACCCGCGCCGTCTGTCTTCGCATGATCTTCTTCTCAGCCACTCCGCGGAGGAGTACCTGAGTGGATGCGGAGCCAATGACGATGACTGGGAAGCGGGCAGCCTCTGGACCCATTGAGATAGAGACTTCTGGAGGGAGCTCTCTTGGTTCCAGCATCATACACTCACCCGAGCTAGTTAGTGGTGGTGGATCAAAGCCTTGCAGAATTATTTCCCTGCGCTGTGAAAAAGCATAAAGACATGCAGAAGGTACGAACTTGTTTATGGATCTTCCGTTGGTCAGTGGCAGGGGTTTGTTTGCCCACTATCAAAACGATCCCAGCCGCAAAATCTCAACCTTTACATCTTCAAGTCGTTTTGTGCACTCTCAAAAACTAACATGGAGATCAGATGGATGGACAAGGCTCATAATTGTTTGTTTGAAGCTCTATATATAAGTTCAATCTGAGTGGCCTTGCAAGGTTCTTCTGGAACTTCCATCAAGACTCAAGACCAAAAAAACAAAAAAGCACTCAAGAGACTAAGAGACCCTTCGTGGTTATGATACAAATTCATTGGCAGATCTTGATTCAGGAGTACAGTCTGACATTTCGCCCAGGCATAGAAAGAACAAGCGCTTCGTAATCTTTGTACATGTTGTCAAGCAGTGGAACGAGCTTTGTGTCTCTCTCTCTTTTAGGAGAATGCTCTGTGCGCACCAGGAAAGCGCAGAAAAGACCTCCGTTTCAGTCGCGTCCGCCCCCGAGGAGCGCGTTCCGGACCGAGAGGTCCACCGGGTCACGCAGAACAGGGACACCGCGGCCAGGGCGGCATCGCTACATCTCATCGCACGTGGACCTGAAGTGTTTTTGTTGAGTTTCTTGTTACCCGTGACGAGATTAATTAAATTACATGTTAACTTAAAATCATAGCAACCCTTGTTACTACTAGTGGATGGCACTTGTTACGTACTACTAGCGTGGCACGTTGGTGTGTTTTTCTCGGGCGTGGATGGGAGGTGACCGGTCATCCATTCAGCCATTCCCTGTGGATTCAGGATGCATACTGGAAGTGCTTCGTGCTTCGCATGTGGTCAACGCACCAAGCAGTTTGGTATCCTAAAAAGGGGAAGACCGCAATGGCTGCCATCCACTTCCATGATTCTTTCAGGAAGTATTCTAAAACTCACCATGTAGGTCCTACCTGGTTTATAGCACCAGCACCTTCAGGACTAAAATGCAGCAAAACACTCAAACGCTCTGAAGTTGGGTTGGCCGACTTCATCGTTTGAGACCGCTGTATCAACACCGGGTGGACTTCGGTCGCGTCTGCCGTTTCGTCGCGTCTGCGTCGGGGTCCTGAGGGGCGAAAGAAGACACGAAAACGTCCAAACCGTGTGGAGCCAAAACGTGTCGCGCGACGTGTCGCGACGCCAAAGCATGTGGTCCGACTTTCATTCTTTTTCATCAATCTGCTGCTTGCTAGTTCTGCATAGTTCTGCTATCCTGGAAACCCGAAGGTTGAGGAGAGATTTGGAGCTGAGATGGTTCTTTCCGATGTGCCAGAAGCCAAGGACCATGTCAAGGAAACCAGACCTCCGACCCTTTTTCGCTCCGACTCCCGCCCGTGGAGACCCACGAACAGAAGCCGCGTCCGGTGTGCACGTCCCCTGAGGCTCCCTGCTGGACTGGCAAACCTCTGGGACTGAAGTATGACATGACTGTGAGCCACAGCCTTTGGAGCGAGAACGGCAGAAAGCTGTATAGCTTTTGGGGTACCGAGACCGGAAACCTGACACGTGTCGCTGCGCGGTTGGCACAGGAAAATCGAGGGTTTTTTCTTGTTGCAGGTCCATTTTCGGGTGCCTTGCGGTGTCTCTTCCCGTGTGCAGTCCTTGAAGGCACCCTACACCCTAAACCCTAAATCCTTCAACCGCCTCCAACCTAAGAGCGATGGCCTCCAACTCAAGAGCAATGGCCTCCACCCTGCTACAGTAGCGATGGCCTCCAACCTAAGAGCGATGGGTCTCATTTCCGGGTGTAGTGCAGTCCTTGAGGCCCATTGCAAAGGTCCAGCTCACCCTGGCTCACCCTTCAACTTCAACTTTCTGAAGATACAGTGCGATGCGACGAACCTGAGACCTGATGGGATGCCTTCCCGGACTTGCGGACTGGCCGTTTGAAGGGCAAAACTCTCCGTTTCGCGAACAAAACGACCTCTGTTGAAGGGGAGGGGGCTCTGAGCTTCTGTTCTGCCACAAAACGTCCCACCCCAGCACCGGTGCCACGTGGGCCGCGGCGCGGTGCAGTCTTGGACCCTCCTGCGTCTTTCGTTCTCGCTTTCGGTGTGTATTGCGGTTACCAGGCTACTCATTCTTTGGATATTCTTTAGAAAGTGGTCCCAAACAAACATCTGCGTGGCGCAAAGTCCATTGAGTTTCCAATCCTTATCGCTGTTCACCCGAACCGGACATCCGCCTTCAAGGATCCTGAATCCAAGGCCCAAGACGTCGCGAAATCCTTCTGACCCAGAAAGAAATGATGTAGTAAATGACCAGGACATCCAGGACACTACCTAGGGATCTCCATTGGACACCCACACAGGATGCTCAGGGACATGTAATGACAATATGTAACATGTTGGCTCTGGCTTCAAGTATACATATATATATATGGATACTGCGCTACTATACAAGCCAGGTGCTCGAAAGACTTCGTAAACAGTTGTTGTATTCATGAGGGCAGAAACAGGATCGACAATTAGCTGGTGAACATCTACTTGGTGTGGTATATCTTCCTTCTTCTAAAGGATCTTTCGGGGGCCTCCCTATTCTAATACACACCCACTTCTTTCCCCAAGAAGATCTCTACCCTTCTAAGGCAACCGCTACGTTCACCGAGCAACGCCCGTCACCCATGGGAACCGAATAACTTCCGAGTAGTTTTGGAGGGGGCGAACCTGGGACGACGTGTTTGAGGCATCCAAAGGCCCTTGGTCGATTCAGTTGCAGATTGGCATGATTCGGGGGGAGGTAGATGGAGTTACCCCGCAAAAAGACCACCGAACCCTTCTTCCAGCGCACCCTCCCTCCCCCTTTCTTTCGCACGCACCACTCGGCATCGCACTCCTCGGCATCGCAGCATCGCTGCCAGCGGAGTCACCGCGTTCATCGCTTCAGCCGAGAGAAACCGTGCGCATGGAGCGCATTGGTTCGCTGGTCCGGTCCATCAGTGATCGATCGGGTCGATCCGGTCAAGCGAACCGCCGCGAACCGCCGGCGTTCGGTCGAGGTCTCCTGTGCGCCTCGATCAGGTGCCCCCCTGGAGTCTCCCGCGGCATTGGCCGGTGGCCATGCCGGTGGTCGGGGAGGATGGTCCACTCGGCATGGCCTGAAAAAGGGATGTGTCCGTCCTTAAAGGTCGCTGAAGAACCCTATAGGCAGCCGATGATGGGTTTGACCCCTCAAGTCACAACCAGGGTCCAAAGGTCCTTTAGTATCCTTTAGTAAATTTGGGGCCTTTCTAGGGCCTTTAGAGGATGTCTTTTTTGCTGCTCGCAATGCGATCTTCAATCATGTAACTGAGCTGCAGTGGGCCGTGGGTCAAACCTCAGGTAGGTGACGCTCGCAGCGCATGGGTCACATCGGACTCGGAGGGCGAGCCCAACGGATCGAAGCTATGACGTCCTCCCAAAGTGATCCGTGACTGCTTGAAAGTGCCCAACGGAGACCGAGACTTGGGGGTGTTGTTTTGGTGGATAGAGGAGTTGGTCCATGGTAGAACCCCAAACGAAGCTGCGTTGGAAGAGGTGCTAGGAGAGGAAGGGTGGAGGAAAGGCCATCCAAGATCCATCTTCGTCGGATTGTCCCACATGTGCACTACTCGGGTCTGTCAGCAAGCGAAAGAAACGATTTTTAGCCCGTGACCAACAACAAGGCCCTATATGTTCAACACAGGCCAGCAACACGAGACCAGAAAAAACGCCATCGTCGGTTTACGCCTGAAACAATGCTGTCTGCTTGGGGAGGCCGTCGCGTCGCAAGCATTTGTCAACGAACAAAGTCTAAGACGACGGATGGCCAGAGAAACTGCTGGATCGAACAGGGGCAACGACCGAGCAGGGCGGACGCCTGGATTGGCTGAAGAGTTGAGGTCATCCGGCTCGAAGTTCCAGAAAAGCAAGGAAGTATCAGAAGCTGCAAAACCGCACCCAAGAGTACTTGAAAGGGTTGTCTCCTTCCTGGCAAGGGTGCTTGAACTAGCCATTGCTTACAAAGCAGGTATTACAGGTAGGTGTCAGAACATGCATCGCTTGGGCAGGGAGTCAGAACTGCTTGCGACTCAAAAACTGCTGGGCTCCTGTGGCAGGGCCAAGAGAGCAAAATGTGATAGTCTTGCTACCCAAACGCTCCAAATAGTCCTTGGCCTAGTTCGACCCCAAACCCCTTCATATACGAGGCTCCAGGAGCGTCAGAGTCTTGCCGTGTCCAAAGCCCATCGCGGAAGGGCCGCCTACGACCAGCTCTGTCTGACCTCTATCGCTCTGTCTGACGATCGTTTCTTCTGGCCATCAAATGAGCATTCTTCAACACCTATCGGATAATTTGTAATGGGCTCTTCTTTCAAGTTCCTTTCGCAACACTTTCGCACCTGACATTTTGGCTTTCATGTGGTGAAAATTCTGTGCAGACACCTTTGCAAGGTTTCGCGGACGGAACTGATTTTGCAAGCTTTTGCAGAAGCTTTCGCAAGCTTTCGCGCATGAAAAGTGGGCGAAATCTTTCACGAATCTTTCGCGACTGCCTCAGCTTTCGCGAAGACTCATTAACGTCTAACTCAATAATTGTTATTTGGGAAGTGTTGACCGCTGCTTAAATGAGGTTTTCGCCCAAACCTCTCAGATCAACTCTGATGCACTGATGCAACCAGTGCCTTTCCTTGAATGATAACCTGGGCGACCAGAACCAGACCTGTCTGGACCTACCTGAACACCCTGTCATCCAAATGAAAGATGTGTGATGGAGATCGGCATTTCCGTCATGCAGAGCCCACCTCAGATCTTGATCAGGATCCCAAATGGGGTCTCTTGGTTGCCCAGCCTACCCGTCAACGTGCTCCGGAAATGTTCATCGAAAACGGGATGCTGTCGACCGGTAGGCCAATGGAAAGGCCTCCCAAAAGAAATCATGAAAGCTGCAGCACAAAGTCGGCATGCCACTCGTTACCTTTAGACAGGTCCCACCCAAATGCAACGATCAGTTGCGGGTGCGTGTTTTTGCCTCGTGCACAAGCTGTCAGGACAGTCTCTACTTTTCTCTGGGTGGGGTGGGGGTGCTAGTTGAGTGGCCTGCAGGACAATCCCAAAGAGACTAAAACACACGAGACGCGACATCAGCTTGGGAGTGGGTACCCCGAGTGGTCCAAAACCGTTCTGCATCACTCATCACGAGTTGCTCGTCACGAGTATCACTTTCTCCAGGATTCGCAAGGGAGCAGGTTACGACGTGGTTACGACGTGAACTCGAAACGTGAACTCGTTACAGGTCGTGAAACACGGGTCGCTTCACGTGCCGCAACGTCTGGCCGTTTCAGGAAAGCGAGGTTATGCGAAGCGAGGTTCGGCGGTGCGGTTTCATGTCACCAGTCTCCGTGGTTTCATGCCACACCGCACCAGTGCCACATCTATCCAACGGCCTATCCAACGGGCTCGCAGAGTTCCCACATCTGTGTCCTCTGGCCTATCCAGCTTGGCAGGCAGGTTCGGGGCTCGACTGTGACCGCTTGGAAGCTCAAGCTTTCAGGAGGTGTTTTTGGGAGAAGTTAAAGTAGAAGCCGTGTTCAAAAGCAACAAACAAACACTCAAACGCTGTAGTGGTGCAAATGAGTTGGTTTGCAATCTGGTGTTGAGGTTGCAGCATGCTAAGCAGTGCTTGACTCGCAACATGTGCATATCTTAGTAGTTATTTCATGTGAAACAATCAGCATACTCAAGGGCTCCACGCGCGCGAGGAGGATTCTGGATATTCTCTGGCACCCCGAATCTACACCTTGAAGTCCAACTTAAAATGGGCCTAAATGAAAATGGCTCTAATTACATCTCTTTAGAAGTGGACGTGGTGTAAAGCTATCTTTTCGTCGCAGCTGAAACTCAAGATTGCTCCTTCTTTCGTGTCTGTGAGAGATGTTTGCACTGGGCAGAACTGCAATTTCAGCCTAGCATAACGAGTATTCAATCTTGGGAGCTGGAGGCATTGCCATGCATTACCTGTTTCATCCTATTTCTTGAACTTCTGCGATGTGACGGGTGTGATGGAGGAAGAGACATCAGCTGTGCATTCGGCACCAACCTCAAACTGCACACTCTTCGGTCCAACTTAAAATGGGCTTAAATGGTTCTAGTTCTAAGCTTAAATGGGCTTACATCCTTTTTGAGGTGGTATTAAGCTATGTTGTGCCCCCAACAAAGGTGTCGCCTCTCATGTCTGTCTGAACAACCGCAGACTCTGGACTTAGACCGGACCGCACCAAGGCTTCACAATGCTTCACAAGACTGGGTGTGGAACACGGTGTGTTCCAGGGTGACAGGGAGAGTATATGACAGGGCTGGTTGGAGAGTTTTCCAGTCTGAGATAGATCCAGTCCGCAATACACGAAGTGGAAACTTTCGTCAAGGAACGTCTGCAGGTCAAAAGGCCTTCCGGTCCCTAAAAGTAGGCCTTGAACAGAGCCCAATGCCACTGGATACAGCAACAAAACATTCACATCTCAAGGGCCACCGCCATGTCTGTCGCACTGACCACTCATCCGACTCATCCTCTCGACTCTATGCAGCGATTGGCACGGGTCCCTCACGGCCATCGAGGCGGTCTCGGAGCTGAGACGGAGACGTCGTGTGTCCGGTTGTTGAAGCGAAGCATGTCATAAGAGGTGGTAACCAGAAAGTGAGAAAAAAGCCATGATGGCAAGCTCAGAAATGGGTCTGGCACTGGAATGAATGTTGGCGCACTTTGGAAACAAACTGCTAGGCTGTTACTTTTGAGTGTTCTGAGCATTGCGGAACCCGACGATATTGGACTTGTCCAACGCCGCCCCGTTTTGATCAACAAACCCTGATGCTAACGGCCTAAAGAGGGCAAGATGCCACACCGAGGCGTGTATTCTCTAATACATGTCCGGTGAAGGCAATCTACTTGATTGATCCCTTCACTCCAAAGGGGTGGTCCTTTGCGAAAAAGAACGAGCTCAAAGACTTGCGTCCCAACTGTGTCTCGTGATGAGCTTCACTTCCGCGAAATCCCGCAAGGCGAAGCTCTGCGAGCTTCACACGATGCGGACCCGATCCGGCTTCCAACAAGCGATTTAAGGATCTTTACCGAACAACCATTGTTTTACTTAAGGAATTTACATGAATTTACACTGACTACTTACACCAGTCTTTTGGAGGTCATTCCAGGAAGGCAACCGGGTTGGACATCGAAACAAGGCACGTTGGATATCGTTGGATGTGTTGGATGTGACATCGAATCTTTCAACGGTATCTGCCAGGGTCGACAAACATGACAAACAGTACACACCATGCTCAAGACAGTACACGCAGAAGGACCAGTGCTAAGAACACCTCGGAGCCAGCTTCTTGTTGTTCCCCTGTCACGGAGAACATGCGCCACGGGCACAGACTTGGAAAGCTACACCACTTCGTGCCAACTGGGACAGGACCACTTCGTGCCGTTCCGTCTGAAAATCTCAGTGCAGTGCAGCGCAGGCAGCGACTCGACCGAACCGGTGACCGGGCGACGCACGCCGGTCCGAACGTTGCCCGCGGGCGCGGGAGCCAAGACGGTGTCAGCCACCAAGATCTGGGCCGGTGCAAACAGCCCAGACGGTCATCGATTTGCCTCCGAAAAAACGATGGAAAAAGAAGATCTTGAAGGCCAACAAGCAACAGACTCGGCCAAGAATGGTTGGATTTGGTCTGCTGGCAACCTTGAAACGGAATGTTCACAGAGAGCCTCGGGAGGCTGCTGATTGGGCACGTTCGCCGTCGGCTCTGGTGACTTCGGCGAGCTCAGAATGCTGTTCAGCAGTGACAGCTGAAGCAAGGAATGTTAACGCGAGGGACTATTTAATCGACCGAGAAACAACCCAAAGATTCTGGATGAATCATGCAATCTTCTAAAAAATGCCTGGAAACAAGGACGCAAAGCTTGGAAAGTAGCATCTCGCTGATCAACAAGAGCCTCTGTCTTGCGACAAGTCGGCTTGCATTGCAGCAAAGAGAGGAGCCAGTGACTACCTTGCTCTCTTTCCTGTCAGCTGCTTCTGATACCAAACTGTAGGCGGGCAAAAGAGACCTAGAAAACTTTGGAATCAAGTTCTTGGGCTCCAGCCTAACATGCACTGGTATGCAAAGTGTGAGACAGTACACGGTCACGCAATCATGATCGGCAGAGATGCTTCACCCCGTCTGTCTTCGTCCGCACGTAGTCTGGCATGGCAGCTTAGACAAGGCTGTCGGTCCAAAAAGGTGGGGTTTGTCTCACCTGTTGAGGTGCTTGTCTTCACGACAGGACAGGCACAGGACGGGACGCAGGAGGCCACACAGAGGCATCCTCAAGGTGCCGCCCCGCCCCGTCGACCCGTCTCATCGAGCAGGCTACAAAGCCCTAGACAGCCACCTTCCCACTGGAGGGGCTTAAGGAGAGCTCTGCGACGCCAAACCCCGCAGAAGGACCGTCGTTGTTGGCAATGCCCAGGTGGTTTAGAGTTTAGATCCTACTGCTGTGAGCAGTGTATGGTGTTGTTTTTTCATGCGAAGCCTATTTACAGTAGTTACATCGAATCTTTACTCGAAAGGGTTCTCCTCCAACTCCATCCATTTCTGACAAGTGGTGAGCCACAACCCTCCACAAGCTACTGCATCCTCCACACCCTTCAGCTCAGCTTCTCGTGCTTCTTGAGACAAGCACCGCCTCGACTCGAAAAAGGGGTTTACCACGGTGGAGTCACGCGTCACCCGCGCTGTTCACCTCACAAAAGCCGGAACAACAAGGTGGGAATCCCCTCGAGGATGAGTCTCAAAGGATTCTTCTTCAGCGATATCCTCGAACCCCCAAGGCTCCGTTGCTTGGAACCAAGGTAGCAGGTGCATGGTGTCTCAAAAAACACTTTCGAATAGATGTTCAATTCCAGCGGCCGGTTCCTGGCCAGTTCTGGTGCAGAAAAGGCCCGTTCTCCTCGCAGCCGAACGGACCCTTTCTTGCCCAACAAAACCTGAGAACGGCCGAAAGGGTGCGCCAAAGTCTACACCGCTTTCTGACAGCCAAGGAATCTCGTCGGTCGTTTCATCCGCGCGAAGCAAGCCCAACGAAACGCTCATGGCGCTGCTGTGACCGTTCTCACCAAAAGAACTGCACCGAAGTCGTGCGCTGCCGGGCTCCAGGATCCGTTGCTCCAAGCGGTTTTCCAACGTTCAAGAGGCCACGAGCTGGCCAAAGTAGGCTTTTCTGTATGGTTTCAAAGAGTCCAGTCATGACTCATTTTACCCCTTTTGCGGCAAAGCAGTGGATTATGACTGCCAGGTGGGGAAAAAATGAGAGATTGGAAGTTCAGGGCAGAAGCCCCACCAAAAAGCTCGGTTTTTTCTGGGCATTCTTCCTCTCTGGCCGTGGAGATGGCGCCCTGTTTCAGGGGCTCCGGACACTTCCCAAGACGGACCCGCTTGAGGGTGGTCATTCGCCTCAGCAGGGCCAGGCATTGCTCACAGCTGCTGGGCGGCCAGGTGGCACGAGGTGCAACTTGGTGCGAGTGAAAAGGAGGAGTGGCTGTGTGGGTGAAGAGTGCGGGAAAGCTCTGAAAACTTCACAGAGGAGTCATCTAGAACAAAGAAGTTGGTTCGATGTTGGATTTTACACATCTCAAAGTGTCCGCAAGGTTGAATGGAACAGGTTATCCTGCAGGCTGTTGAATGTGGTCGTACTGTGATTCTCTTGTCAACGGTGAGCTGATGCAAGATAGATGATCCTTCACTGCTTGGGATTGATCTATCTAACTTTACCACCCAACATCAGGGTCCTTCGCTCAGCAACATATCCCATGCCGGATGCGCATGAAGCCTTTGTCCTTGAAGAATTCCACAGAGATCCACTGAGTTTAGTTTAGTATGATTAGTTTAGTCCTCGTGGCTCAACTTCGGCTGTTCAATCTGATCCTCTTTGCTGTTCAACCTCTTCCTTCACACTCACTCGAACTGGCCCGCCACTGGTCGGCCACTGGCAAACGCAAATGCCTTTTGAGAAGTGCACTCGAGAGTGTCCAAAAAATCTCGCTTCCGAATCTCATCGTGGCGCAGCTCCAAACAAATGTTGTGGCCATGGCAAGGTGATGTAACAACACCCCAAAGTCACGTAAAGTTGCAAACACATGCGAATGGGTCAAAAGGAGTCACACCCTCTCCCGCTTTTCTTTTGTGAATGCTCACTACGGCGTAGTGTCCTTTGCGGAAGTGTGTGTATGGCTATGGCCCATGTGCCATGGAGTTTTCAGTACGGAATGATCCCTTCCATTTCGGACAACTGAATCTTGGTCTGACAGCAGCCAAGGTAGCTGACCCTGCTGGCATGAGAGTGAGATAGGTGACTCTAACTAACTAACTAACTAACTAACTAACTAACTAATACTGTTTGTTGTTTAACATGCAAGATGAGCATGGTACCTTCTGGCTGGCAGCTACGCTAGCAGCCAAATGCCAGCAAAATGAATGCCCCAAGTGAAGAAGGGGAGTATGAAGCCAACGTTTCTTGCGTCCGGTCTGTATCAAATCTCCACCAGCCAACCTCTGGTTCTTCGTCTGCTTTCCTCCGGACCAGGGGTTTGGACTCTGTAGAAGTCTCTTCACGGAAGCAAGCCTAGACAGTGATGGTTTCCGGGACCTCTCTGTTCATCTTAGTTTCCAAAGACCATGATTGTTCAGATCTAAAAAATCCCAAAGGAGTGCCCCAATGGGTCCTTGCTATGAGGGCCGCCTCCCAAAAAAGGTTGCCTTTAACCAACCCTTGCAGCGCAATTCGCTGCCAGAGGTTCACAACTCGCCTCTGAGAAGTCCATCTGAATCCGCTGAGCGAAGGAAGAGCTTCCTTCTAGGCCGGCAAAGGCAGTGGTCTTCATTGTCTACAGGCTTTCTCCCACAAAAGAGTGGAACTGTGATGGGTTTCTTCGTGCTCACTTATATCTCCCAACAAAGTCTTCAACATCCCAATTCTCGCACCAACTGCCCTTTTGTTGCCCCGCCAGCAAACTCGTCGATTTTGAGCCCCGTCGTTCTCCAGCCTTTTTAGGCCATGTATGTCTTGTCTTGCCGAGCTGTTTGAGTGGGTGGAAGATCAGATCCCTTTGGGATGACAACCAACTCCTCAACAGCCCGGACGTCCCTCTGAAGAACACCGTGGACGCGTCAACGGCGTGTCTGCGCGATCAGCCGCCTGTCAACGAGCGAGCAACGAGTGTGCGGCAGTGTCTGTCCCATGCTGTGGCTGGGAGATTGCCATGCACATAGTGCGATGTATTAAACTATATTGATAAATAATATAACAATAATAATGATAGTAACAACAATACCCAATAGCGATGGCCTCCAACCTACTAGCGATGGCCTCCAACCTGTCTGCCCATAATACTCACTAGTGCTCACCAAGCCTACCCAGCACTTTTGCTCTTTGCTTCATATCTTCATGGTGTCTCTGTGAAAGATCAACGGAAACGGTATGCCAACCTGGTGGAACAATATAGTAATTTATAATAATCACCCAAGAGTCAAAAACACGTACACACCTGGTTCTCCACTCTTGTTCCAGAGTCATAGCCGTCACCCTGGCGCCCAAAACCGCCGACCCCAGCGTTGGTGGACGGTGCCCAGACCCAGCCGCCGCCCATGGTCGGCCCGGAAAGCGCCTGGTGAAGAGCGCCAGTTGGCATCAACATCCACGCAACGGTCCGGGAAATTCCAAATGGCATCCTGGACGGGCGTTGTTCGGTGGCGCGGTGCGGGAGTGGCGCCTGGAAAAGCCAGCCCCGACAAAACGGGTTTTGAATATGCCATTCATCCATAGTCATCCTGGAGAATATTCTGAAGTTCTGAAACACGTTCAAGAACTGTTCAAGAAGCAAAAAAGTTCTTCATCAGGGTCATGTTGTTAGTCACGAAATGTCACGAATCTATTGTTAGTCCTTCTCCCAACACTGACCCACTGGATCCGAGTGACATCTCTTTCTTTTTGACATCCCTTGTTGAGGTGAAGAAAAGTCTTCATCTGTGCTGCGTGGATGACCCTGTTCTATCAAAAACAAAAGACCTTCCAAGTGGCTGCGGCTACTGATCTCTCACAGGCTCTTTTTGGAGACCTCGCTTCAAAGAATTCACCCAAATCGAAGGGCTTCTCCAGTGCTGCTGTTTGCAGCCTTTCGATTCCCACGAGCTTCCACCGGGCTCGCCACACGTCGGCACCGCTGAAACGGACGGCGCGGTGTCACTCACGACGGGTCTGACGACACGACGAGGCTCTTCACAAATGAAGGCGCCCACGAGCTTCCCGAAGGAATGCAGCTGCACCAGGAAACACAGCAGCGCCGCACACCAAACGAAGGCTGAGCAGGTCGCAGCCGGTGGTCGCGGCGACCCGGTCGCGTCGTGGCTGGGTTTGGGAGCTGGGTTCGTTCTGCTCGGTGAGATTGAGAATGCATTGTCTTTTCATGACGTTGGGGGATATGTTCATGAAAAGAGATCTCAAAGGACTTCGAGGACTTTGGGGGTTGATCTGTTGTTTGTTCATGTGATCTTTTTCTCAAGGACTTCATTGACCTCAACAAGAGATACCGCCAACTCCTACATGATTCCCCTACAAGGAGTTTGTGTGCTTCAGAGGTACCGCCAACTCCTAGACCGAAAAGAAAGTGACCGGTCGTGCCTGAGGCAAAGCGGAACTCTTCCACTCCAACGAAACATATAAGTGGTGTTTTTGGAGTAATCTTCACAAATCACGAGAGGTCTCCATCCCTTTTGCGTAAAACGGCAACCGTGACATGATCTGAGAGGAGGTACCCTTTTGTCTGAGCCAAAGCCCTTTGGAAACCGCTTCTTCAAAAGTGTGTCACTTGTCTTGGACCCCATATGTTTGCTTTGTTGCGTCTCGCTTAAACATGCTTGCCGTCCAATAGGGAAGACGCCGAATTATTGACACCCGTTCAAAGCATCACCAGCAGTGAAATCCAAAAAAGCAAAGGACCGCGAAGTCTTTAAATGGTGCCTTCAGTCCCCACAGTGCCGAAACAAAAATGATGCCGAACCTGGCAGAACCTGGCCCTTTGCCACTTCAGCCCCTGACTCGTTGTGAAACATGGGCCCTTGTGATTGGAAACCCTCCCAAGAAACAGCTACATGGCAAGTGTGTCTATCTGTATCATCCCCCGATATCCCCCATACGTGCATGCATGCTGTTGATCAACTGACTGGTACACAACACCTTCACTTCACTCCTTCCTCCCGTTCACTTCAACCGACTGAATGGAAGACAAAGTAATTCGTGGTTTAAAAGACCAAGTACTCGCGGAACACGTTTTAAAGAACATCCGCGAAAGAAGAAAGCTCCGAAGAAAGCAAAAAGAAACGCACGTCAGAGAACATCCGACGTCTAACATCCAATCTGCGCAACACCCGCCTAACATCCAATCCATCGAATCAATCGCTTGAGGTCCTCACTTGGCTGAAGTGGCTGGGGTGTGAAAAGGGAATCCTTCTTGCCAACCCTTCCAAAGTGGAAAAACTTGGGGTCTCAAAAATTACACCGGCATAGACCTCAGATCGCGGGTGTATAGCTTTGAGAAGTTCGAACCCCCTCTCCGCCGCTGGGAAGCTGCAGCTCTCTGGGGAATAACAAGCAGAACTCGGCCCAAAACTTGCACAAACGGACCCAGAATGTGCCCCAGGCGGTGGAACAGTTCCAGATCCAGTTCCAGTTCCGGAACAACGAACTCTTGGACCCGAGTCTCTAGCATCGAGGTTTCGCGATGCTGATCGAACGTCCACTGCTGCACTGCTTGGAGCTGCGCGGCTCTCAGCGGGCGGGCGATCCATGCCCAAGGTGCCGATGTCATCTGCTGGCTCGTCGGAGGCCGCGGACTCCTTCCGTGCCTCTGCGATCTTCTTGGCGCGGAGGCAGATTTGAAACAAGTCCTCGGAGGACAAGGACAGGGGGCGGGCGCTCTCCGTCTCGACAATCCCATCGTGATCATCCGAAAGACCAACTGTTAGTGGGACATTCTGGGACACACCCAAGTCAACTGGTCATGTGTCAGGACAGGAGTGTACTTGGACCAACGTTCTGGTCTGACGGACGGTGTGTTGGTGTGTTGGTCTGCGCTGCGAATTCAGCGACTGACAGGTCCATGGTTCAGTTGGATCATGGCACCTGGAGACCTGAAGAACCGAAGATGATGGTCTGTGAGTTCTCGATCAGTTGATCTTTAGTTGACATGGTCTGGTCAAGTCAACATAGTCAGTTCTCCACCAGTGAGTCAGTTCTACCCTCTTTTCGTGAGTCAGTTCTCTACTGGACATGGTCAACCTACCAGGCTTTTCGTTGACCATGACCCATGACCCACGGCCATGCGGAAAAGCTTGTGCTGGCCAGATCAACCAAAAGAACCGCCGTCAACTTCGGATCCTTTGATGTTCATGTTCATAGAGTCTCACAGCAGGGACCGTGAGTGTGACCCGTGAGTGTTTTTCTTCGTAGTTTAGAGAGTCGAAAACAAAAGTAGGTTTAGGTACCAATGGGTGGAAGGATCCAACATACAGATCGGTGGAGTGGGCATCCAGAAGGACAAAAGCAATCGGATCACCAAACGAGTATGCAGACGGCCCCGGTGGTTTACAGATGGCCCCCCCATCGAATACGCAGACATTGTAGGGGTTCCAGGTTCCAGTGCCAACTCTGAAACGTAAGCACACACTGCACGTTTCATGTGGCCCACACAGCGTGATTCCCGCAGGCCAGTCGTCGTCCTCCCCGCTTCACCCCGTCGTCTCTCCGGCGCTTCGCGCCGGAACGACGGGAGGGTCCCAACCGTCCAAAGCGTGTGGAGACGGGAGAGGCGGAGGGCGGAGGTGGACTTCCGTTGACCAACCCGGGAGTTTTGGGGGTCCATGCGGACCTCTGCAGGAAAGGGAGTAAACCTCTGCTTTCTCCGAAACAATTCCGCAATACTCGTCTAATTGATCTCAAAAACAAATCGATTTGACTGTAGCAAACATAACTTGCCAGTTGTAAACTGCACCTCCTGCAGTGCAGTCATATCCTTACTTTACCAGGAGCCAGAGCTTGACCATATATCGATATTTATTTCATTTAACTGTCAACTGTTCCATTTTGCTTGACTTACGTTGTTTCGGGCATCTTTCTCTCAAACCAATTCTAAGCTTTCAGTGGACAAAGAAAAGTCATGGACATACAATTATAAACACTGCCAACAATAAGCCTCACTTCCCACCCAATAATCTTTGCAGTCGTCCCTTTTCAACTCCTTACACTTGCCTTCTGATTCTTTCTAACGTTGAGTTCAGAGGTCCTTTATTGCTAGCTATAGTGTTTATTGTTGTGGATCGGGGGCGTAATATATACTACTTGCAATGTCAACATTCGATGTCACAAATCGCTATTCGGGCGACTAGTCTGGAGCGTGGGGTCCTTAAATTTTGGACAATCTCTGTGGCAGATCCAGCACATCGACCAAAAGAAACAAAAACCTGGCAAGAACTGGAACGTTAGACAGCATAATATCATTCATCTATCGAATGGCTCTTGGCCTATCTCTCACATGTGGACGGGCCCATCATGCAAATGGAGAGGTCGATCTGGAACCATAAACCTATTGGTTGTTCACATTGGTGTCGTATCCCCTCCGCTATTCAACCAACCAATTTCACCAATAGTATTAAAGGCATTGAAAGGCCATCTATGCCCTAAACCCTATGGAACAAGAAGAACCCACCTGCAGCACCGCACCAATCCATGAATACAAATAGGAGACGTTGGCCGAAGTGATGTGAGCAATGAGAATGCAGAAAAGGCATTGCCAATTCAGATGCGCTTTCATCACCATCCGCCCCAAGGAGAAGATGGTGGTCTGCACTTCCAACTTGGTGCAGTTCTGCAAGAAGTTCAGGAGAACGATTCCTCAACACGTTTGTCAAAAAAAACGAACCAAAAACGGCCAATCAAGGTGCGGTCATTCTCGAGTCCATTCTCTTTTGGCCGTCTAATTGGAGGATTACATAGGAATTACACTTTGCTTTTTCCATGGTGAAGATGCGGTTCTTTCTCATAAGTCCTTATCCGCGATCCCAAAGCTTACTATAAAGGTATCCAGTACCCAGTTGTCTCCAGAATCACCATCCACTTTCCCCTGCATCTGGGAGGACCCAGCACCAATGACCACATGACTTGACGCTCTCAGCGGTGCCCCGAAACCAGTGTTGGGCAAGGTACAAGAGCGGATTCACTCGGATCCTCTCCCGCACTAACCTGGAAGTCTCTTCGACTCGCTCGACCATCTATATAAAAACATGGTGGACCTGGTGTTGCAGAGTAAAATCCTTTGTAAAACAATGGTGGTCAGTGGTCCGGTAAAAACCTGTGAATTAATGGGCGGTTGGAAGAGCCCTGAAGAACCTATCGCGTGCTGTCGACGAAATGGCACTGGCGCTCCATCACCTGCCTTGCTGAAGTTGCGTGCCATACCCTAACCCCCCATTGGAGGCCAATAGCTACACCAAGCTGTTCGAAGCACATCAAAACTCCTGCTACGCAAGCAAATCCAGCACTTATATAATCTTGAAAGGAGCGGACTTGTCAAGACAAGGTCCCAGGTCCGGTGCTTTTTTTTTTGCACCTCCCAGCCTTGTAGTTTGGATAGTCATATTATATCTTTGGCCGCACCTCCCAGCCTTGTAGTTAGGTCATATTATCTCTTTGGCCAAAGAGTCTTGGAATCATTTGCCTCAACTCCATCTTGAGAATCTGCGTGGATCGATTCAAGTCCTCGAAGCCCGCTCGCTCCGGCTCGCTCCGGGTCGCTCCGCTTGCCGGGACCGCTCCGCGGTGGATCCCAAGGGCCGAAGCAGACCGAAACGAGCACGGCTTCGGTGGCCCCGGTTTGGAATAAAACGGCTGTACCGTTTGGAAGCCAAGCCAATGGTTTTTTGGGATAAGGAAGGTCTTAATTACACACTACACCGAAGGAGGTGATACAACTATTCTTAGTCGAACGGAAGGCTAGAAGGCTAGGGGTTGAGGAAAATAGAATGCGCGTGTCACCCGCACACCCTTCCACAACCATTGAAGGCCTTAAGTCAGAATGGAGACCCCGAAACCATGATTGACTCTGGACCCGCCCAAAACCAAGAAACTGCCAAGGTGTTTGTCTACTTGTCCGAGACGGAAAAAATTTGCCACTGCTGTCTCCAAACTTTGAAGAACCACCGCTGCAGCGCTGTTTTCCCGTTGCTGATTCAAATGGCCGCTCGTTAGCGCCGCATGCAGTGGCTATCACCTCGTTGGCGCCTATCCTATGGTGTCATGGTGTGCTTGGGGGTTGAGTCGACCCCTCCTTTGGAACAGTGTGTAATGCCGCCACCCAGACCTCCTCTGCCCTCCAATACCACCATCTCCACATGTCGCAAGTGGGTATGGTCTCTGGTTGTTGCTTCCAAAAATAAAAATATAAACACGTGTCGTTCCTTACCAAAAACCTCGGTACTCCCGGTACGGCTTCGAACCAAAAAGAAAAACAAAACCACGACCACGTGGCCACGTGGCGAACGGATGGTTCCAGAACGGTCCGCAGCCTTCACTCAACAAGCACCTCCCCAGCTCCCAGGGTTCCAAGGCACGTGCTTGGTGTGCTTCGCCCGCTCTAACTGCAGCTGGTGCTGGCCTTCTTGCACCAACACCATGCGGTTCAGAAGCGCCAAAGTCTTCAAGGCATCCTCGTCGAACGGGCGGCAGACACGCACAGACCGAGATGATGGGCGTACGTCGATGAACATGACAAAAAGACACCTAAAAATAGGCGATGGACCGTTTTCGAACTCCCAGTTCGTCGAAATTCTTCGCATGCCATACTGCAACAGGTGTATTCTTGCTCGAATGAACTTGAAGTCACGGTATTGGAGTCTTGGGGTATCCTACCCATCGCGAATCCGTTCCAAATCATTCGCGAATCCGTTTGTACCGTCAGCAGAGCAGTGAAGCCTCCTTCGGAACCGGTGTTCACACCCACCGAACATCCTTTTTCACATTCCGGACCCCAATGGCACCAGTGGTCCCTCCGATGGCTCCAACACGCGGAATGCTGATCGATGGTGAAAGCATGAAGTGTCCTACCGTTCCAATGGCACCCCTGTGTCGCTCGCGTCGGCCACTCCGAACTGGCGCGTCGCGGATCCAAGTTTATGTTCGGTGACGAAGCGGACACGTTCGGCGTACACGTTCGGCGGACACGTTCGGTCACCAGGTCAGAAAGCTCAGGTCACCAGGTCAGAACTCTGGCTGTTCATCATCCACTTTACTACACAAACTGACATGCCGGGCATGAATCTCTGTCATTCCTCGCTGCCAGCTTGTTGACACGATGTGTTTCGTGCACGGCCTTCCCCAGGAATCAAACGCAGGAAGCCAAGCATCAGCGTGCCATATGTGTGAGGTTGTCCATTGGCATTCTGCCACATTTTGAGGCCAACAACTGAAGACGTTGTAGCCTTGGATCTGTCAATGACGTTGAATTCGTATCCGATCCTCACCCGTTTTTCGTGTGTCTCAAAGCATTGTGCATGCCACCAGAACACGCGCAAAAGAAAGATCCACCTTGGTTGGGAAACCCCTTATGTTGAGACGCGCCCACTTGTACCTGGTTCTTCCAAGTGACCTTTTGGTCCCTTGGTTTGGGGTCACTTAGGCCTGTAAATGTCACTTATATAGGGACTCCAAAAAGATCACTTGGTAGATGACGGTCAAGTAGCCATGCTGTACTGTTTGGGCGCTAGGGAGGGCAGGCTCATCGAAACAACCCGCCAACGTTTCCTCAAGCAACCACCAGATGGAGTAAAAAGAGAGTTTTAAATATAGAGTCTGAGAAATAAGGAGGTATTACAAGAAGGATGTCCTAAATCTAAGAGTTTGAGGTCAGAACTTGTTGTGCTTTGTGCAGTGTGTGGTGGGCTGGTCTGACACAGGACAGGGCGTGACAGTGACAGCAGTGTGGTGGTGGTAGCGGTTGTTCCTGTTGTAGAAGCAGCCTTCGAACTAATTATATATTTCAGCAGCAGTAGTAGCTGTAGCAGCAGTAACTGCAGCACCAGCAGCAGCAGTAGCAGTAGCAGTAGCAGTAGCAGTAGTAGTAGTAGTAGCAGCAGCAGCAGTAACTGCAGCAGCAGCAGCAGTAGCAGCAGGAGTAGTAGTAGTAGTAGTCGTCGTCACCGTCTTGCGTCCATCATTGCAATCCTGAACAAAAGCACTGACTTTCGGCAGGACAATTATGAAAAGGACTCCTTGCCGGAGCATGGTGAAAGCACGTACAAGTGCAATCGTGAGATGTGCAAGTGATGTAATTACACACCAAACCCCACATTAATGGTGCATCCCCACACTAAACCAAAGGGAGTTGAGTAGACTCATGCGTTGGGTTCCAAAACAACGCACGCGCTATTGACACAGAACCCCTCAAAAGTTGGACTCCTCAAAGGTGTCCTTTCTGGTGCACTGAGCTCAATCCAAGTAGCCCTCCTTCTCGCTCCGGCAATCGAAGTCCACATACTTGCAGCAGAAGAGTCGAGCTGGCAACGCGCTGGCGATGAAGAGAGGAAGCTGAATAATCCTCAGAGCTGCGACTCAAAAAAAACTCAAAGGGCAAGATCCTTCAAGGTGGTCTAAAAGACACAGTTTTCGGAATGGAAGTAAGATGAAGTAAGTGACTATGCCGTTAAGAAGGGCAAGACAAGGGTGAATCAGTGAGTAAGCGATTTTCCGCACGTATCAGAGCACGCATAAACATCAGAGCACGCACGAGCCTATCACCGGAGAGCCTATCACCAAAATCTGCACTCGCAGGGAACGACATCTGCACTGCACTGCACTGCGGCCCTCGTGCGGCCCTGCCGTTTTGGCCGTGAAGCGCAACAAGTAGGCACTTGCAAGGACAGATGTGCGATGCCCAAAACGAAACTGTTGGAGAATAAGTAGTTTGAAGATCTCAAGAGCTAGGAACTCTTGTGCTGTAAGGGTCTTGAATTTTTTGCCAACGGATGTGAACACCCTCGATTAAACCCATGCACAGCTTAACTCGCCTCTCTTTGAAGGACCAAGGAAAACAAAAAATGAAAACAATAGCTGTATACATACTACCCCGCGCGACATCCAGCTATCAAGGCTCTCAAAGGTATGCAGCTCTGTCCAACTTGGCAAATGCCCCTACCGAACCGCAAAAAAGAAGACGGAACATCCGTTCCGTTCAGATCCTCACCCTCAAACCAGCTCCTCGACCCAAGCATCGTGGTGATCCAAGCGAAGATCAAAATAAATCTCAGGTTCTCCCCTGGAGTGATCCTTGGTACGAGTGCCACTCGCAAGGATCCATGGAAGAGAGCAGATTCAAAGCGATCAAGATGGGTGGCGACCTGTGGGAGCATCAAGGAATCAAGGGAGCATCAATCAAGCTGAATTCTGAATCAAGCTGATAGAGAAGCAAATACCAAACATTCAAAACAGACAGACAGACAGACAGACAGACAGGCAGGCAGGCAGGCAGCCTGACCGACCGACGACCGACTTACCCACCCACCCACCGACCGACCGACAGAAAGAAGAAAAGTAATAAAGAATAAGAAACAAATAGATAAAGATAAATTATAGATTATTATAGATTATAGATAGATAGATCGATCGATCGATCGATGGATGGATGGATGGATGGATGGCTGGATGGATAGATAGAGAATAAATAAGAATTAGCAAGAAACAGATAGAGAAAGAGAAGTCTGGCATTGGAGGATGTGGCATTCTCTCCTGTTCTCCTCGTTTCGTTGGTTTTGGGTTGGCCCAAGCATCCAGGCAAAAATGGAGTTCTCCCACACATCCTCCCAGATCTGGGCGATCTGATCCCAACCTGGACATCGTGCTGTCGGATGGCAGGTCGGTGCGTGGCTGTCGCTGTCATGGCAGGTCGCTTGGTGCGTGGATTGGTACCTGGGATACCATATGTGGACATCTGAAAGACAGTCAGTAGTATTGTGTTGTTTGTTTCTCGTTTTTCGGACATATACGTGTCCGTGCTTCATACAAGAAGTACTGAAAGTGTGTTTGTTCGTTATTCCTATGTCATGTGTGGCGTTGAGATCTGTTTGTGTTAGCCAGCGATCCAAACATATCCTATCTTCAAGCATCCTGAAAAAGAAGACTTGCTGCTTCATGGCGAAAAAACACTCCACCGGCACCCACAAAAAGAAACACGACCTGAAAAAGAAAACCATAAAAGGACATCCCCAGCCGGTCCCTCTTCTTTTCCAGCTCCACTCTTCGACCGGTTTTTTTCGGAGTCGGCGTTTTCCCTTCCGCGGCTGCCGCGCCTTCGCAGCCGAACCACCGGCAGACCGAGGCTAAAAGGAAGCCCTGGGTCACCAGGTCCGTGTGCAAGCAGAGGCTCAAGGACAAATGCCAATAAAACCAAAACCCGAAACTGGGCTTCGATCGCAATGGCGTCGTCATATTTCCTGCCGCGCGGCCGTGACGAGGGCGAAGACACGCACCCGATGTCTTCCCGCCGATGTCTTCGCCCATTTTGGGGGGAGGGCGAAGACATCCCGGTCCAAGCTGGGTGGGATGGAAGGGGCGATTGGATGCCATGAAGAGAAGAATCCTCCGAAGTTTTCAGACCTGGAAAGCCTGATGTGAAGACCTGGACCGTCTTGAGCGTCTGAGCGTCTGGGCAGGGGCGGGTGGCCCCAGAACTGTTGCACTTCATGACCGACTGTGGATGGAAACATGGAGATCTTTGAACTGTCAGATCTGCTGAGTGGATCTGACGCAGATTGCTCTATAAAGGCTAGTTCAAAAATTAAGTGATCCGCAAGATAATCAATATTGCTCTTGAGTGTACTAAAACACCAACTATATAATATGCACACTTCTTGAGAGGCTGACTGCACTTGATCAAAGATAAAGAACCTTTAAATCCAGGTCTTGAGGACGCTGCCGACTACTCAAAAGCTGTAGGTCTTTCCATCTACTGTATCGACTCTATTGTGGGGATCAATCTACAGTGAGCATGCCTAGTCTCCACAACAATTTAAACGTTCAATGTAGGGGAATGCTCTCTTAATACAATGGGAAACCATATGGAAACCCAAATCATCAGGGTCTCAATCCATCAAAGCAAACTGATCTTATTTGATCCTATATGATCCTATGTGCGATTCACTTTAAACGGTCCTTGCTTGGATCAAGACTCACAGGGACAAGAGATAGTACACTTGCTCGAAAAGTTTCATGACATTCCAATTATGACCGTCTCTATGACATGGCTACCTTAGGCTACTTCCAACAGCCAGAATTCCATGCTTTCCATGATCCATCGTAACGAGTGATCATAGCACTTCTCCATGCAGAGTGATCCATCCTTCTTCCACGCTGCACGTCCCGAACGTCGGACCCTCCACCGGTCGCGCGCGTCCACCGGCTCTGTGCGCTCCTAGCCATTGAACCACCGGCACAATGGTGTAGGTGAAGCACCAGAGTTCGATCCCCACCACGAGAACTAGGATGGGCAAAGGAAAGAGCCACACCCACGTGGCATAGTGTGGCATGCCCAGCCCGTTGCATTCAGTGAAGTAGAAAGCAATCCACGGCAGAAACATGAAGAATGGCCACTGGATCAGTGTGGCCATCCAGAGTAGCAGTACCGGCGGACCAGAAATGTCAAACATCGTGAGCTTGTACCTCAAAGCACCGGATCGAAAAAGGCTCAACCATCCAAAACACTAAAAGCAGACCGGCCCAGACTTCAGTGAAACAAGTCCAACAAGCCCAGCTAAGTACGAAACCATGCGAAACCATACGATTCCCTCAAACCCTGAACCGATCCCTAACCTTGTCCCTTGAAGTTTCAGAGATACACCATGTGCCAACTATGTTTGGGAGGCTGCTTGTGTTTCCAACAACAACAAGAAGTCGGGGTGACTCCACCATACACGCATTTCCAATCACAACAGTCCTCCTACAATCATGTCTGGAAAAACCAGAGCCCTCTTGATCAAGAGCCCTGGTCCCCAATTAGATTCGATCGCTTCATCCAATTCCCATCCATTTTGCCGAGTCCTGAACGATGCCTCTGAAGGGTCTCCCCCCCCCGCGCCGGGTGGCCTCTTGTCTTCCGGCATCGTTTCATTTGGCACCAGTCTCTTCTCTTTCATGAGCTCCTCACAGACGAGGTCGCAAGGTCGACATGCAGCCCGGGCCCAGACAGGTCGTCTATGTTAAGGAATAGAGGTCTAGAACGGTCCATATAGCTCTTTTTGGCGTGGAAACACCAAGTACTGTTGCAAACAAGAACCGTCAAGAAATGTCAAATTATACCTGAATCACATTACAAGCACCATCCACATCAATCTATATAATTGCGTGGTGTTTAACAGCTCACCACTCGTCATCCGAAAATGCAAGGGTTGAAATGAGGGACGTGTCCCACGACTGCTGATCGGTTTCTGTGCCTGACATCGAGGATTCATGTGCTTTTTTGTCTGAGCCGCATTGCGCTTCACCCACCACACCCCGGCCCTCACCCCTGCCAGGTCCCCATCCTTGACTTCGCTGGGGACCCCCCAGTAGCTGGTCAAAAACCAACGAGGGAGCCATATGGGGACGTCCACCGAGATGTCAATCTCCTGGGCGACGGTGGATGGGTGCGAGAAGAGAGGTGATGCCAAGGTCTCTGCTGCACAGTCGGCTCTTGGATGCCAAAAAGGAACCTCGGTCCTCATCAAGGAAGGGTATCTTGGGTCCACGGGGTATAGATGGTGAACAAAATCACGGGAATCACTGGAGCTTGGTATCGATCACGGAATCACGGGGTATGGATTGGTCCACGGGGTATTAGATTCCTCTTGACAATCACGAGGAATCGGATGCTTTCGAGAAAAATCACTGGTCAGTGCCATGAGTCAATGCCCACTCCGGTCTGCAGTGTTCGTGCCGGCCGATGGTCGGCACGAAGACGGCGGATGGGCTGAGGCGCTGAGCCCATGCTTTCACCCTCCAAAACCCAGAACGTACTCCATCTGGTAGTCACAACCCACCACGGTAAAATGAGTCATGACTGGACTCTCAGGGAAAGTGAACCATGCCCCGCGAGTTCAGTGAACTCGTCCTGCTCACCCCCAGGCGTGGCAGCAACTTCACTCTGGTCATTCATGTAGACCGTCGATGTAAAACAAGACAACCCCCCCCAAACATGGAGCGTCCAACATATTCTTGGAACTCTTCTATTACCTCCTTGGAAGAGGTATCTATTCGCTTTTGGTGTCTACAGGAGGATCCAAGGAGGTTCTTGGAACTCTTCTTATTCTTGGAATTACAGGCTTTTGGTGGAACCTCCTTGGATCCCCCTGTAGAACCGCCTGACCGTGGCGTTTTCATCCTCCTCTTCTTCCGTGGACGGCCCGGATCTCTTCAGTTCATCTCTACCCAGCGGCCACAGCGGCTTCATGGATTTACGCTGCCAGAAATAATTATGGAAGTGGAAACCAGCTGCTTCCGTTCGGGGTTACCTGGCTGGACAACCCTACACTGCTGAAAAAGGTCCCCAAACCGGACCAGACAGGAAACGCTAGGAAAAGCACCTGTTTGGTCTTCGGATTTCATGGTGATCCAAGGCTCCAAGGATTCATCGACGGTTGGTGTCGACCACTTCGACCATCTCTTGGAATTACAGTGGATTGAGAGTAGATGGCACTGGCACCCCAAGATGTCTTTTATAAATATAGTCGTCCTTATAGAGTCCTTATAAACCACCTACCTTTGGGACCCTTGTGCCATCTACTCTCAGGCGCACGACACGGCCGAGACTGCACCTCGGCCTGTGTCGTGGACCCATGTTCAAAAACCTCCAGGGATGGTGGACCTGGAGTCCCTGGAGTCTCTGGTCGTTTTGAACCATCAAACCTCCATGGAACATGTTCAACCTTGCATGTTCCATGGTGTTCGTTTCTAGCTGGCAGGTGGCGTCTATGTCAAATTCCAAGTCCCGTCATCGACGGACACCACGGGTTTACCCCTTGGTCGTCGTGATTCGTCGCCCCATCATCCACTTCAATCCTTCTCCTTCTCCACCAAAAGGAGGTCAAATAGAAACGGATCTCTTACCCTAAGGATCCTTGGACCTTCCTTAGAAGGGAGTTGAACCCTCTATAACAAGGGTTTGGGGCCCCTCAAAACCGTGCGGATCCTGGTCTCTATAGTGCCCAAGCCTTAAGTCGGACCAGTCATGTACCCAGTCGGCTCCTCGCCCTCCTCGTCGTCCTCTTCTTCGCAGAGACCGCACGGCTCGTAGTCGTTCCTCGGTCGATCGGCTTTGCGGGGTGCTCGTGATGGGAGGTAACGAAGCATGAATCACGGCCATTTTGGACGAAAAATACACCCGGGAACCTTAACAAGGAAGGTGAAAAAAGGAACTCATGGAAGACTAGTTTCCTTTACAACCCAGTGGTTTTCAGGTTCCATGTTCATTTTCCAGGGTGTATCGTTTCATCTCTGAAAGTGATGGTGTCAGTGTCAGTTCTAAGGTGAACTTGAGGAACCACTGAGCAGTTGAAGCTCAGGTAGACCTCCGGGAAGTTCAAGGTACATGACCCCCACAAAGATCAAAGAGATCTTAGATAGGGCCAGGTAACATGTACACTTGATGTTTACTTCAACCCCCCAGAACATGAATTGTAAAACCTCTTCAGGCCTTGGGGTTTGAGCTGTCATCAAGCGATCATCACCGCAGAAGCTGTCGCCTGTGGATTTCAGTTCAACTTTGGTGGTTCCAAAACGCGCCTTGGAAGCTTGGATTGCAAAGGATGGAAAGCTTTGAATGCTTAATGTAGACCTTTGATGAACAAACCCCTTGATATAGGGTGATATAGGGGGGTACTAGTCAACAGCCCACATTATGATGTCACACATCTTGAAATGTCAATGTCGTCCAGAATGTCTCAAGGTGCATTCCTGCTGTTCCTTCCCCAAACCCCCATCCATGTTGCGGTGATCCATCCACACATGACTGGTTCCGGTCGAAACCCTGTACCAACAATGGACCCAACATTGATCTTGCCACAAGCTCGGATTAAGGGGCTGTGTGCTTGCAAAATGGCAAAGACTTATTTTCCTGCAGTTCCTGTCCAATGTGCAGCTCCTGTCCGGACATGCATCCCAAAACATAAACATATATTTATATTACTGATGGAGCCCCCAATGGCCAATCCAAATTCACCAGTGTGGGTCTTCCTTTGCACCACACTCATCCTGAAGGAGCCTTGAAAACGTGGACGTGCATCACATGCTCGTCGGTTTCCATCGCAGGTTTCGACAGGTTGTTGTACAGGTCGTGCCACGAAAAAAAACCGTTGGTTCAAGAACTTCTGGACCCATCTAGATAATCCATCTGGGTTGGTTGTGACTTGATGTGCTTTGTGTACTTCACAAAAATTTTGGCTGCCCACCCAAATTAGGTACTGACTGCGGGCTACAACTACTAATTACTCTGTATGCCCCATGAAAAAAAGGTGCACAACTGCTCTGACGACCCACACTCCCACTATTCAGAACTGCTGGCCTTGCTTTGCTGTTCGCAAAGCCCATTCAGCATGCGCGCGTGCGGTGCTGCTGCACGCTGCGCCCCGGCACGCACCGCACACTTGCTGCCCCGGTACGGAGAGGCTAAGGCTGAGCCAGGGCTGAGCCGAGCGGCGGTTGGGGGGGTCCGTTCAAAACAACAAACCTGTTCTGAAGTTTCCAATAAAAGGACATGTGGACACCAAGCACCATCAAACTCGAGCTTCAACATAAATCTTCTCAATGGTCTCTAGCTACCCTTCACGAAATGTGGCCTTAGCTCCCTGAGTTCACTTTGTAGCCACCACAGTCCACGTCTTGACCAGCCCCACACACACACAATGATATCCCATACACTGTAGCTGTAGCACTTACAAGTTACAAGTGCTTTTTGGGGAACAGGTGTGCAAACAGAATTGTCAGACGCATGATTCTGCATCAGACTTCTCGAATAACTACGTCAGTGTGTTCCCCGTTTCTGAGAGCTCTTGGAGTTTCAAGGGCCCAAATCCACCAGCTCGCCCTTTTCTTTCAACCATGCGAGCTCTCAAGACATCCACTTCAGATGCCTTGTGCGCAGGGCGCGCCAGAGCTGGGCTTTGGCTCGGCGCCGCCCGCGAGTCCCAAGAAAATCACTCCCAGTCCACGCGAGAGAGTTCGCATGCAAATGACATGAGAGTTGGCTGCGGACCATATTACTTGTGTGATCTGTGGAGATTACTGATCGTCCAGTGTTCCTTTTTGGAGAGTCACTCAGACCAGGGTGGGTGTCGGGCTTTGACCCACTGAATGTAGCAAACTGCTGAACTCATCAAACCTTTAATATTGAAGGTAAACAATGCTGTATGGTGACATATGGGTGTGCGCGTGTGTGTGTGTGTTCTTTTCCTAGCATACTGAGCTTTCAGAGCGCTGAAAGTTGCATAACCATTGAAAATTACTAATCTGTGGAAAGAAGTCACCTGCTCACCAACTTATGTCGTGTCCCAGCTCAGCCCTGCTGAGCCCCCGTTCAAGGAGTCCTTGACCTCATCTGGGACCCCACTGAGAAACCATGCAGGCAGCCAGTCAGGCACATCCCGAGCAATCATCTCCAGGTCAGACTCCTTAGTGCTGCAAGTGTCCACCAATGAACGCGTCTTCATTCTCAAAGCTAGAGCATTCTTCTGAAACCCCACGATGATTGAAAACTTAGTATGGATGCCGTGGGAACCCTGATCAATTGCCCTTCGATGCTTTGGAGTCGCGAATCAGCCATGGCTAGGGCTTGAACAAATCGAAGGAATCCCAACTCCCTCCATCAGGGCATCGTCCAGGTCACCTCTACTTTAAGCTCACGGAGTCTTTGCCCAAGAAACCTCGTCATCCTCCGCACAGGGCTCATAATCGTGCCTCCAGCAAGACTGCGAAGGGGCATTCGTTGGAATGATATGAAGAAGGCGAATTGAGGGACCCCTGGTCAGAGATAGATTATTGCAGCTCCACCAAAAGCCTTAGTTAGGACAAATATTGAAACCGGAGCCTGGACTGCTGATTTCCGAAGATTTCATGAAACAGGAAGTATCACAATATTTATAGCCTACTCCGACATTTTGCCTACTCCACGATTGTCCAGAAGTCTCCTTGAACTTCCAAGTATCCTTGCTCAAAAGATCCAAACCAAAAGACTTGAGCTTCTGTTGCACTGTTTGCATGTGATGGTTCAGGTTCGATGAAAATCCTCCTGCAGAGAAGGGTGATGGTGCTAACAGCGTGATTGCGTTGGGGTGGGAACGGAATTGCATATCCGGCATCGCGAGAGAGTTGATCTGCATGTTAGCGCAAAGTCCGTGCGCAAAACAACCATCAGGAGCCTTTGCAAAGCCCAACTTGGTTGAAACATATCAATCTTCGAACAACCTACAGTAACCTGAACAACCACCTGGCCTATCCCACCCTATGACTTCCTTGAAAACAATCATGTCCATTTGTGGCCAGCTCGTCCAAATTCGACTCTAAAGTCACAGCGTCTGGCCTTGCCTCTGTTTGCTGCTCCTTGAGCCCATTCTAAGCCATTCCACGCTCAACCCAGAACAACTCTTGAGCCATGAAAGCGAAACATGTATAACATGTAGATACATACAGAGAACTATTCATAATGTACAATAACTACTGGCGGTATCCAAGACTCAACTTCTGAAAATATATCTATATGCCCAACCCAGGAGGATAGAGCAAAGGCACAACAACATTGACTTGCATTGACATAGTCGCGCACGTGAGTGTGGTGCGGCCCCAAACCATGGCAAAAGCAAACCAAAATACAATCGTGGAAGCAAAGACTATGTGGGGTTGTCTAGATTTGCTGTGTCCCCGAAGGGCATGATTTCCGTTGAGCAACCAGGTTTGTCTTGTGCATCTCCATCTCCAACCCCCAATATACAGACCAGAGAAATCACTTCTTGGAGAATATTGGAGAACATGAGCACTTGCGTTGTTAGACTCCACCATGAACTGCTCGAAGCTAGCATTTTTCGCCTAGAGGTCCTGCCGATCACAAGCTCAGTGCAAATGGTCGCAGAGTAGGGAACTTGTTGGTGAATGCCACACCCATGACGCAGGTCACTTCTGCTGGGCCTTGATTTCATAGTCTGCACTTTCCGCGTCCTTTCTGGCAAACCCAGCTCGTGTGCACTCCTCGACGGTAAAGCCTGCTGATACACACATCTTGACAGTGCTATGAGTCTTGAAATCCTTCGCAGTGTATCCTGCAGCCTTCCAATCATCAGCGCTAAAGCCACCGTCCATGGTTTCGCGCAGTGTGTAGCAACCTGATTGTAGGCATTCACTGAGAAGGAAGCCGGCATTCCTGCAACCTTTGGCATCGAAGCTAGCAATGCCCTTGCACTGTTCGACGCTGAAGCCAGCAAGCTTGCATCTGCCAATAAAGTGTCCCCGGCGGAAAAGCTCCGTTGCGGGCACACCTTTTTGCAAATAGCTGGCAACAAGTCGACATCTGATCGTGTCACAACCGTCACTTTTGACAACCTTGTCACGATCGTCACTTTTGACAACACTTGCAAGCCATTGGTCCCGTTGCACGTGTATGGGCTTGTATAGTTCAACGGCCGTGACACCCAACCGATCAAGCACCTCGCTTGATGGCTGTTTCAGCCAACCTTGGAGCTTGTCGCGCACTTCCTCCGCACTCCACAAATCCGATGTGTTCTTCAACTTCTCAACCCACTCGCTTTGCTTTGCGTCAGTTTCGACCAAATCTTCCAAGGCCCTCTGGACTGCGGCTGCTTTCCACAGAAGAATGATGCGCTGACCATAAGGGATTAGTAGTCCTTTGGAAACACTGATGATTGCAGAAAAGCCTGCAAACCCCAAGCCGTTTATGCCCGAGTATCTGAATACCAGCGCTACACCAATGATCCCTTGAGGCCAATCCTCAGCCCAAGCGATCAATAAGCGAGCCCCACTCACGAAGTCCGCAAACGAATTTCCTGCATGTCTCTCTATACACTCCCACGTGGTTTCCTCACCTGTCGTGGTGGGTTTCAGTGGCAACTCGAGAATCCCCCCGTACTTTTTGCGAAGATCTTGTGCACAGTCTTTGCTGCGGTTTACAAGGATGTGCGAGTAGATAATGACATAAGTAGACAAAACGGCCAAAAATCCACCATCTGCCAATGCTTCCAGAATTACAGAGGCCGTTTTGGCAACATGGTCCCAAGCGTGGGACATTGAACAAATTTGAAGCACCAAGCCACTCACAATAATTGCAATGATGCACGAAAACATCCCAGCAGTATCATTGCGGCCTCCGAGAGCACCTAGAAATACATAGGGCAAGCAAATGACCAGATGCAGTTGCACGCCCAAAACCATGGCATACACGACCTGCACTTGGCAAATCACAAAGAAGCCAGTAACGGGCAAGGAAACCCTACCCCTTCTTGCCTTGCAAAGGATCCACCAGAGGGGCAAAAAATTGCACTGTCATCTTTTTTCTCAGCAAAATACACTTAAGAGACCAAAAAGTTACATAATTGATTCAGGCAATTGCTGCGATTGCCAATACCGCACTGTAATCACAAATGGAACGCAATAGAAAGCAGCGGCAGCGGGTTTGGTACCTGACCTCTGTTTTGCATAAGTAATTGCCGCATCACCTGAGAAAAACAATAGGCAAAAAAGAAAATGCAGGCAATGAAACGGGACTCTGCACAAAGTTATGAGTCATGAGCCTGTCGCACCTCTCATTGCTTCTCTTCGCCGGAGGTACCAACTACCAACAATGGTGTTCAGCTGGCTGATAGCGAACTGACGGCCACCCCAACGGGAAGGGGTACGGCAAAGAAAGACTGACGGCTGACGACGATATGTCGAAAGCATTCTCTTCTGGAAGATGCCAGCGGGCAATGCGGCAGCCAATCTCCGCAGGACCGCTAGGATTTCTGAGAGGAAAGTCGGCAGATTTCCGGTTGAGGTTTGGCCAAGCTCCAAATCCATTGCCAGTTAGACAGGAAAAAAACTACAGTATGTATAATGAGCGCAAAGACAAAGTAGCAGGTTGAACGACGCAAGCATGAAGTGCCCAAAACGACACCACCACATCCGTATCTAAAGCCCACAAAGAAACAAAATCTACCAATCAGTACAAGTACGTAGTCACTCAGTAGTCAATGTCAAAGCGACAAAAAGCAATGAGACCCTCTGCGTGCCTGCAAAATCATCAAAGGCGGGTACGAGTCGTCTAAAATGCGCAAATTTTTTGGCACCAACTCCATGTGGATCACAAATGCCTCAACTCCTGTGAGAGTTGCTCCAAAAGCAAAGCCTGTCCATGAGTCGGCATGGAGAAGACAAATCCCTGTGACTATCCAATCTTTCATGGTATCACACAGCTCGCTCAAGAAGGGTGGAGTGTATAAAAGCACCGTTGTGGCCGTCGATACTTGCAAGGCATCGGCATCCTTGGATATGCTGCAAGGCGTCAAATGGAACGCCCTTCAGGACTGACACTTCGCAGGCGAAACCAAATCAAAAGGAAGAGAAAACTGGTCACTGGACGTCTTAGCGAATTAAGACAAGAAAGCTAGCGACCGCGGGCACACTCAAAAGAGAACATCCAAGCATCCAGCATAATGCATCTAACCAGATTCTGTGCAAACAAAGCCCAGAGGCAGACCTGCTGCCAAAGCGCCCAAAGCTCCCATGCAAAGTCACCACCACCCTTCGTCGAGATCCAGCCATTCATCATAGCGAGGAGTACTGTAGCAGCGCAAAATATGTGGTAAAAGGTGATACCCAAAGCAAAGTATACAGTGTCTCCTTTGAATGGATGATCTTCATAAACCTTTTGGCCCATCTCCGAGTCACTCTGAGCTTCCGAGTCGTAGTCTTCCTCAACTTTCAGCGACTGATAACTTGGAGCGACCCTGCTCATGCTGGAGTCGTCCGTTTCGAAAGACTTCTTGGCACACTGGAAACAATGCCGCACGGTTTCACATACTCCTGCCATCAGCACTGGCGACAACCTCGGTCGCTGGCAAATGACAGTTTTCAGTATGTAGGTGGTAAAGGGACCCTAAAGTGGAGATACTGTAAGAATTTGGCCAACAATCATCACCCTGTTGCCATTATATAGATTTTACTGTATGTTTGACACCTACTAAGGTGCATTTATGGGATTGTGAAAACTGTCCTGAATGATGGTGTGGTTAATGTATATGAATGTTCCCTGGAAATGCGTTCAAGTTCTCGAACCGAGTTGCGATTCTCGAACCGAGTTGCGAGTG